GAGTGACCCCAAACTTGAGAAAAAATCTATTTAAAAAACAATTGTTTGTGTGTGTTACCAACACTACATTGACTTCACCTGTGCTCTGTGTTGTCCTTGTTTCCACACTATTACACACGAAGGTTTCCGTGTTCCTCTTGGCTACACAGGAACAGCACAGAGGACATTGCAGTTGTTTCCTTGTACATGTCAGCACTTTCCCATTTGCTTTTGAATCCCCACCAAATGATCAGGGATTAAAGTCTGGCAGCACGTCCCAGTCATTTCTCAGAAGCCTTGAAGAAGGCAGCTCCCTGGAGAATGCTCCCATGCTTTACTGGAAAAAAAAACAAAACAAAAAAAAAACCAAAAAGCAGCAAGGCTTTACGTCCTTTCTGGCTTTTAAGGATGGTTTTAGTAAGATCTTCAGAATCCAGAAAGCAACCAGGAAATACTCATCAGCTGTAGATGAGGTAATTAGCATTTCCGTGTTGTTACACGTGTCTCTTACAGCAGTTCTGGAGAGGAGGTCACAGGAACATCAAGGTCTCATTTTACTCCAGGAGGGTCAGATTCTGCCCAGATTTACTGATCACAACCACGGCAAACCTAGGCAGTCTGACAGGGTTTAACCTGAAATGCCACACATTTTGGGAGAGAGGTCAGATGTCCCTGCTGACCATGGGGAAGGTGATCCCCCGATGCTGAGACAACTAAAATCAAGTGTTCCTTCTTATTGGTTTTTGCAGAAGAGGAAAAGAAGGCCCCAAGCACCATCCAGGTAACTCCTGCCCGTGACTCTGAGCCCAGCAAAGCCACACAGAAGGCAGATGCACCACAGGATGGACAGGTATTGAAATCAGGGTCACAGGCAGTAAGTGCTCCCTCCAGGCCGACCTTCACATGTACTTCCCTTCTTCCCTCTCCAGAGCTTTTGGGACAGGATCCAACTCATGTCACTGGCAGCTATATATAGACTGTGTGCAGTGATTTATTAATATTTGGCTGAAACATTTTGGCTTACAAACACAGATCAGGTCCAAAATACGACACCAACTGATCCTGTATAGTATTTTCCACTCCTCTGAGGTCAGGGGGGTACTCCAGGGCAAGGGAAGATCCCAGGATGTGCCTGTCCTGTGCTCCCCAGTGTACAGTTCTGCTTTGCTCCCCAAATCCCTCCTTCCAGGTGATGTAATTTGGCTGTTCTAATGAGGAAAGGATTTTCAAGGACAGTTTGTGTCAAAACCTCATCTAAAAGGTGGTTCTAGTTAACAGATGCAATTTAGTTGACAATACACAGGTGCTGGGGTAGGATGAGCCTGGGTCCTGTCCCACAGTAGTGAGATGGGGGCTGTGGGTGCCCCCAGCCCTGTTACAAATGTGAGCTCTGCCCAGGTGAGGCCAGGGTGAATAAATGCAGCTCCTTGGAGATGTGAAAACATATTGGCTTTTTGATTTTTTTATCCTGATCTACAGCCCCCATCAAGCAGTGACAGCTCAGAAGACAGCAGCTCTGAGAGTGAGGAAGACAGTGATGAGGACAGCACAGATGATGATGATGATGAAAACGATGAGCCCTTATCTCTGGAATGGCCAGAAACAAGGAAAAAACAAGCCATTTACCTTTTCCTGTTTCCCATTGTCTTTCCTCTCTGGAGCACTCTGCCTGACGTCAGGAACCCTGTAAGAATCTGTCTTCTTTCTGCTACTGGAGTCATTAACTGAGCTATAGATTTCCTCTGGGCAAGAGTCCCCAGCTCCATTTTTCCATGTCTGGAGCCTTTGCATACTTGAAGGGCTGTTACTGCTGCAGGGGGTGGGACAGGAGCCCCAGCTGCAGTGGAACGTTGTACAGAGACTTAATTTAACAAACCACAAATTCTAGCAACTACAGGTCACCTAATCGAGCTGAAAACCAGAAATACAAATAGAAACCAGGGTCCAAGTTAAAGCAAATCAACTGCAGGGAAGTGTTCCAGGTGAATAGTTTTCATTGGGGATTATTACCTTTCCTGAAACTTCTCTGTTTTTTCTTTTCAAACTTGATTTCGACAGGACTCAAAAAAATTCTTTGTCATCACGTTTTTTGGATCCATCCTCTGGATTGCTGTGTTCTCTTACCTCATGGTGTGGTGGGCTCACCAGGTGAGGGGTTTGTGTTCTCTCTGCAAATCACCAGTTCAGAACTAGTAGATAGAGAGAGGCAACAGTGTCACTTGGCATTTTATCTCATGAATTACAGCTGCAGCCCATCACAACAGTAGAAACTTTGTTTTGTCAGAACCCAAAAGGGAATTTTCTATTTCCTTTTTATTTTGATTTGACAAAGATTCATTCTTTTCCAAGAGCCTCCAAGGGAGTTTTGTGCATCAGTGAAAGGAAAGTGCAGTGAAAGGAAAAGTACTGTCAAGATTTATCTTAATTCTGACTTTTCATTGATGAATGTTTCTGTGCAGAACATAATTATCCATTATCTGATTAAAATTCTAGGAAAATAAAGGGTCTGATTCTGGAAGCTGCTAAATGATCTCAACTCCCCCTGCCCTAATGTTCACCTGGTGTTCTGGGAAATAATACTTCCATCTTGTAGAATCACCCCCACATTCTGTATTTAGTGATATATTGCACATGCACAATATAGCTGATCATGCCATAAATCCAAGGACTGTCACTTCCAAAAGCCCTCAGATCTTGTACAGCTGATGTTAAATCTGGAGAGGGAAAAAGTGGACAACATCCAGCAGAGGTGGACTGAGGACAGCAGAGTTGTGCTGTAGCTGACTTGACCTTGCTCAGTGTTGGCATCACTGTGATCAGATTCCCTACACTGCAGAGCAAATCCAGGATCAACAGACACTGTGAAATTTAACTTTCTAATCCTACAAAGCAGCAAAATGCTCCCATGTTTAGGGGATTCAGATTATTTTAACTCCAGTACGGCACAAACCCCAACACTGCACAGAGCAATTGTACTCCCTGTTCCAGTGCCAACAGCTCTACCCAATTTGTGTTGATTAGGTTGGAGAAACAATTGGGATATCAGAGGAAATTATGGGTTTGACCATCCTGGCAGCGGGAACATCCATCCCTGACCTCATCACCAGTGTCATCGTGGCACGGAAAGGCTTGGGTGACATGGCTGTGTCCAGCTCTGTGGGCAGCAACATCTTTGATATCACTGTTGGGTGAGTACCAGTTCAATGCTAAAACATGCATTTCTTCTGAAATACAAAGCTGGTTTTATTCCAAACATATCTATTAATTTAAATTTTTGCTGTATTTACATGAAGGGCAGCTGGGCAACCAGTTCCTTTAAAAAAAAAAAAAAACCAAACAAAAACCCCAAACCAAACACCACCGAAACCCAGCCAGGAAAGACAAAGTGTTACAGCTCAGCCCACCATCTTCACCTAATTCTGAATCAACAGAAAATTACCATTTCTTCAAGACAAAAATTCAAGAAATCTTTGGAAAACATCAAAGATTTACAGGCAGGAACAAGATCTGGTCACTCAGAGACATCCAGCTCCTGTGCAAGCAAGGGCAGGATCAGTGCCTGTATCTTCCATCATAAAGCATCAGGACATTTCTTTATTACAGCCCAAGACATTTAATTTATAGGTCCTTTCAGCCTCTTGGATCGCACTATGATAGTGGAAGCATTATCCAAATGCAATTTTGATACAAACAACATCTAGTTTAGATTTATGCTGAGCTACATTGAATGCAATCACGCATTTTTTCCCCCCTGTAAGACTTTGGAAAAATTGCTTAGTTATGATGCAGAAAATGAACTGCCTTAAAACATTTATTTCAATTACTTTTCCTTTACTTGCAGCTTGCCAGTTCCCTGGTTCCTTTTTTCTGTCTTCAATGGCCTCAGCCCCGTGGCAGTGAGCAGCAATGGTTTGTTTTGTGCAATTGTCCTCCTTTTCCTCATGCTCCTGTTTGTGATTATCTCCATCGCTGTCTGTAAATGGAAAATGAACAAAATGCTGGGGCTCACCATGTTTGCTCTTTACTTTGTGTTTCTGATCATCAGTGTCATGTTAGAAGACAAGATAATATCCTGCCCAGTATCTGTATGATGGCTGGACACTTCAAGATGTGTGTGAGGATGCAGCAACATCAAAAGGGGTTTAAGGTAGCAAATGTTCTACTGAAAAAAAGGAACCAGAATTGTAACAAACTTACTGAGAATAAAATATCTTTAACTTACTAAAAAATAAATACATCTCAAGTGGTATGTCAGCCTCTGCTATTTTTCTTTAGGATCAGAACACATACAATATCAAATAGCACATGTTTATGCACTTGTGGCAAAGGCTGATGTGATGCAGATGCATTGGGTTTTCAGTACGGCTGATCCCCTCAAGTTAATGGAGTTGGTTTTCAGCACAAAACGTTTACCCATTATAGAAATTTTTCAGGAACACACTCTAAATTACTCAGTGGACTGCTCAAACTCTCTGAAATCAGTGAATTTTACTTCAGGGGGAAGAGAACCAGCTCCATATGGCCAGGCCTCTACACAATTCCTCTGCTTAAAGTTGCCGTGTGGCCTCACACGCTGCATCTCAGCAGTGAATTCTCTCAAACTGCTCTAAGCTCCTTTTAAATCTGTACCTGATCTTGCAATACAAGCCCTAAAATTTATGTTAAGTGCAAAAATGTGATATCTCCTGGGATTTACATCTTACCATTACAATGTAAAATGGATCTGGGGTTACAACAGCACATTACCACTGATCAAAACTCAAGCCAGGAATCAAATACTGCAACAAGAAGTTGAACTGCTGGGGGTTTGTTTTCATCCTGACACTAATCCCTGCTATTTACAGACTATTGTATCCAGCACTAATTCCTGTTGTTTGCACTGTTTTCTACACAGACATGATGAAAAAATGCCACTGACCTCAACAAACCTGGGAGGGTTATTGTTAACACCTCACAGGAGCAAACAATGCAGTTAAGAGTTGCAGACATTTCTAATCCATCTAATAAAATGTTAATGAACATAAACAGAAAGATTTTAAGCTTTTTATTGACTCACTGTAAAACTTCTTTTTTTGGATGAGACAGAAAAAAAACTTAACATTGTGAACACTGACTTTGCTTATTTTAAAGGAACTACAAACCAAAGCAAACATCCAACATACTGGTTTTTGGTAAATAAAATTTAAACATTACATATTTACAAATCTACAACCATTCATTTAAAAAGTGCTGCTTGCAGACTAACAAAGTACCATTTTTAAATCCCAGTGAGATAATATCCAGAAATACCCCTCTCTATTATTACTGTTTGCATCTCCCATTTGTTACACAAAGATTTTGCACGCAGGAATTTTCTCTTTCTTGGGGTACAAATCATTTAATTTGCCAGTGGAAGTCAAATTCATCAGGCTGTAACTGTACCAACAGCAAACCCTCTCAAATGGGACACAGCAGTGTCAGAGAAACAGCACAATTTCTATTCACATTTCGGTATTTCATCTCCAATAATTATTCCAGTGGAACCATAAGTAAAGCAAAATATATATTGCACTGCAAATGTAAAACCTTTGTTTAAGGTTTTGGACATAAGCATTATTTAGTACACAAAAGGAGAAAATTCAGTTCATACAAAATTTTAAATTGAAAATATGTCTCAAATATTTTATTTATCCATCTTTGCAGTATTGGAAAATATAGTCAAATTGCTTTTCTAATAAAGGACAGTGAGATTTGAAAACTGTTTCAACACTGAATTGCATGATGCTTAAAAATTATCCACCTCAGGACCTATGTTTGGAACATTATGACTTGAATGAGGAAAATTTCCCATTTATAGTATATTGTTATTCCAACTCTATTTTGATATATTTCTACAGTGGACTGACTTGCAACAGACCTTATTAAACAATTCATTAAGTATAATGATGTCACTTGATGAGCCACTACATGATCTAGTAATTCAAAAGCACACCCCAATGAACATCAGCAATGCTTCAGGAGTGCCACGCTGGGGATGCAGGAATATTGAAGGACTGTTGGAAGGCTGAGGGACAATCCTGTTCTGGGGCAGCACCTACTGTCTGGTAACACTGCAGGACTGTGGACACTGGAATGAAGCGGCCAAAGTGCTGGGTTTCTAAGTCTGAAGGCAGCTGGAAGTACTTACAAGGAAGCTGGGTCTGGGATGGATCCCCTGCACCAACACATCTCGGCAGTGCCGTGTCCCAGGGACGGACCGGGCTCGGTGCTTCCGCCACACCGGGATGGGGTGGGAAGCCTGGTCATAGCTCAGCCCCTCTGAGCACCACGGCAGCTCTGGAAAAAGCACTTGCTCTCTCTCCTTCATGGCCCGAAGGTCCCATGATACAGTGGCTGCCCCAGTGGTAAATGGCATGGGAAGCAGAACTGCAGGGAGCTGGGAACACGGGGATGAGCTTAAATACACAGCAACTACTGCAGGCGAGTTATCCATGGTAATGCAGCATTCCCGCTGCACAGAGCAGAGCATCCATGCACACTAAGGGCTACTCACAGGGAATATGGTCAGAGACAGCCTGTCATTTCACAAGAGTTCAGAAGAACAAAGGGGGTGTGTTTATCATGTACCTGGGCGAGGAAAGGAGCTCCATTTCATGCACGAGGGACACTGTACAAGCATGGCAGGACAAAGAGCATCACAAATGGTTAAAATAAATTAAATGTGAACAATGGTCTGAGGGGTAGCATTGCCAGCTCCACCTCAGGGTGGGGGAATACTTTCAAAAAGGTCAGCTACATAATTAGCAGCACGTTAGAGAAGAGGCATTACCCGATGGAAGTTGTATCCTGCATCTTGCAACTATCAACGGCACATTCCTGCAGCTCTGCATGTTTTAAACCCTTTCTCCTTAGGGTACCGTCTTCTTAGGACTTTACAGAGGTCTGGGAGGGGGTTACAGAGCTTCATAGCAGCATTACTTCTCATGTAAGCCTCTAAGGCTCGCTCTATTTCATTTAATAGAGTAAATGCGAGCTTTAAAGTTTAGCACTTTCTGCCTAACTAAATATTGCTGGTTTATTACACTTGCAAACTAAAGATGTTTTTAAAAACACCTGCTGGTAGGCAGATTGCCATATAAAATCTAATGTAACAGCTGATATTTAGAAATATTCTAACAGCAACAACTAAAAGAAATTAGAATTGGAAAATGCATTAAGATTACTTAAAATAAAGCTATTTGTTAAAGCATGATTTGTTTAGGGTGTTTTATACAGTTCAATGTCTGTTTTCCCACCTCCACACAAGACTTCTGATATTTTCCCTGTAGCCTACCTTCTGGTGAGGAGTTGCTATGTGACTGAGAGCACAGAACATTTCTTTAAATGTCTAGAACAAGAAAACATGAGGCAAAAGCCATGACTCCACCACAAGGACTGACACAGCGCTTCTCTTCAGAGAAAAAAAAGTTGCTTTGCCTGTGAAATAGAGACCAAACATTCCAAGTACATTTAACTATGCACAATATGCCCCAATAAGTTACATTCCCTATACATTCCCTGTAGCAGGTTTGCTGTATGTACTTCAGTTAAGAGCTTTGGGTTAGCACTATGAATGTGTCATATTTAGTGTGTTTTAACACAACCACTGAGACTCCAAACGCTGCGGTTTGTGAGGAACCTGCTGCATTTGCTTTGTGTTCCATCTGGGATGAGGTCACACCAACAAATGCCAACAGCTGAGATGGGCTGATTCCATAACAATCTGTAGGACTCTTCAACAGGTTTTCCCTTTCCTGGGGAGTGGGGAGGGAAGGGAACACGAGAGGAAGAGGAGATTTCTACAGAAGTGTTTTACAGAGACAACAGTGTGTTCATTAGTAGAGTTTTACAGAATTTTACCATACCTTCCTTCTGATTGCTGTGGTAACACGTTTTCCAAGTGTGCATGAGAGAAATCCTGGATCTTAAGTACTGTCTAGGTGAAGGTTAACATTTTCTATTCTGCTTTAAAACCAATCACTCTTCAAAAAGTAACTGGACAAGTTACTATAAATAGCAGTGTACTGCAAAAAAAATAAGCACTGTATTGCTTATGCAGCAAGTCCATTTAAAATTCACTCCAGTAATTTAAAAAAATTAAAAAAATATCAACTTACTATAAACAATTTAAAATATGTATAATACAACTTTGTATGCTCTTCATAACATCATGAATATTCTATGTAAACAATAGATTCTGAAGAATTTCCTTCGCTCACATTAGTTTCAGTGCATTGTTTCTGTCCACCTGTTTTCTTAACTTTTTGTTTTAAGGGAGCTGTAATCTGCTGTCCCAAGTCAAAGAACTGATTTTGTTTAGAACCTTCCTTTCTACACATTGATCTGCAGAAAGGACAAGGGAACAGGGCAATAATAGTTGGCCCGTTTTCCTCTCTGTCCATCTCCACAACCGCAGACAGGCCCAATTTCCCGAGGCCTCCACGCACGCACGTTCTCCAACACTGAAGACTGAGATGTTCCTTGTGACTGAAGTGGTTATTTTACACAGGTACACGTCAGAGATATCACCTCTTTAGCCAGGAATATCTAAAGGTACGGTTCTCCAAAAATCTTTCTGCATTCCATCACTCCAGTGCTCGGGGGTCTATCACAATTATGAGTGTTCTTCACTTGGTTAGCGGTGAGTCGGTCATAGGCCATTTTGTACTCTCTGTCAAAAGCATCTGCAGGGAGGGAAAAACAACTCCTAGTGCTCAGAAACACCCAAATGCCATAACAGCTGCATTGATCAGCAAAAAATAAAAGTCCTTTTTATTTGGCACTTACCACAGAGTGGCACACATCTAATTTTTTTTGAAAGCTGAATAACTAGTTTGCACACACTCATCATCTGTGCTCATATAATAATTGAGAAAACTCACCTATATCAATGTTATCTCTTCCCAGGGCAACAAGTGAAAGAAACAGTATTTCTCTGTAAAGGCTCCTGAAATTGTAAAAATAAAAAGTTAATTTATATACTGCAACAACATATCACAAAACAATCTATATTAAAAATAGCTTGAAGCATTTAAAAATGAGTTATTTTTAAAAAGAGGCATTTTGAACATAATTCCTGGTTGCCACCTCCAAAATGTTGTCACTTCTGACCTCTGGGGAATGCCCTGGATTCCCCATATATGGAAATCACTCATGGGAGGTCCTTAAGGCAATCACTGATATGCTGGAAGTTGTACCAAGTACATGTAGAGAGAAACATGCACTTAAGGCAAATTTCAACCAAATTCCCAAATTCCAATTTGCTTTTCTGCATTTCCGTATTAGTTTGAAAAAGCAGGCAGACAAGTAAATAAACACCCTGTCAATGCTGCAGCTGTTGACAAGACTGTTCTGTATCCCAGTATAAATCAGTAAATCCAGGGAATAGAAACTCACAGGAAATAATTTTCACTAATTCCACTGCTAATGGAAAAACCTTCCTAAATATGAAACCTAACCTCTCTTAGCTCTTCTGTTCTCTACTGAAGACTTAAAAACCCAAATCTACCCTTAGACCCTAGAAATAAGGCTAGGGTTTTTATTTAAAAAAAACCACTAACATATAAATAACATTTATTAATAAAATATACACACATACACACTCCCTACTTGATTTCATTCAGAGGTAAGAAAAAGAAGTGGCTGTGAAGGGGAGAGGAAAAAGCAACAACATTTTATAAAAAAATTGGAGAAACTAAGTTTGTGAAAGTTATCATGAAAAAGAAGATTATTTACCAGACTGAGTGACAAATTTGAGAACACTGTTGTTAACAGTGCTTTTTTCATTGCAAAACACACTAAGGAAATGTAATTCACATTACAACAGCCTCATTGTTGCCAAATTCTGCTCCAGATAGGCAGGCTGATGCTCTTACCTCTGTCTTTTAATATGTGGCCACTTGTTCAGCCTCTCCAATATCTGACTCATCGGTCCATACACATCATTCATCTTAATGCTCTTCACCATACTCCTCAAGAGCTCCTGGTTAAAGGAGTCATCATCCTTCTGCAACAACTGCACCATTGGGTACTTCTGGGCTGAAAAACATTAGAAATGCTGTAAGAATAAATAGAGTCTTCATGTAGCGAGTAGAAAGTTGTTAAAAAAAGAGTGGGAAGCTACAGAAGCTGTGAAAACATCGACATGTATGTAGTGAACAAAAACATCAAATCCAAAAGAATATCAGTGTAAAACACAGAAAGCACATAAGAAAACTCAACAGTTGCAATGGGTCATGAGCTGCTTTCAGGCAGATGATCCAACACTGGCAACAAAATTCTTAGTAAGCAAATTCTAGAAATAAGGCAATGAGCTAAGTGGATGAACTGAATCACTGAAACGTATTCCCTCTTATTCCTCCCTTCCCAATGAAGAAAAAGTCACTGGCAACACAGGTCAATGATTTGAAACAGAAATGCTGGCAAACTCAACCTGTTCAAGCAGTTTACTGCCCAAAACAGAACCCTCCCAAAACAAGTCACACAGACTGAGAAGAGCAACACCAAACTGAACACTCACTCTCAAACAAAAGAGTGCGATTTTGACCTGCAAGACAAAAAGCAGTATGATCAAAAAACAGTACTGTAGCGTGGGTGAACTATCCACAAAGACATCTTTTCTCAACACACAGGCTTCAGCTGCTCAAAATGAAAACTGTTCTTAGAAAAACACCACCAAAAAACCCACAAGAACAGAACTTACTCTGAGCATTCCACAAAATATACAGAGGCTGCCTCGGATCCTGATGCAATTTCATATTGTCCCAGAGCATCTGAATAAGAACATATTTACTGTCCTCTGACATGCAGTTCCGTGGAATCTGAACAGGAGAATGCACACAAAGGTATTTTATTACAAAGTCATGACAAAGGACTTCTGTATTTAACATACACCTTCACATCTACAGGCCTCATGGTAAAAAGTTTTGCTATTAAAACTAGAGAAAGCTAAATCTGAACGGGATTGTCAGTGACATAGTATTTTGTGTATCTTCCTACAGTCCTAAAATACAAAAATTCCTCCTCCTTCTAGTGCCTAACTACTCAAATAGCAATAAAACTAACTAGAAACTTATCCTCTTTGAAACTGAGGATCACAAATTACAGTTTGACTTGCAGGAGTTAAACACGTACTGCCGAGCCCAAGATCCAGAGTTTCACATATTTTCCTTCAGTTCACAAATTATTCACCAACTCAGGACTGGGCCCAGCATATTGTAAGAATTTCTAAGAGTTACTCTGTTACCTGATGATTTCCTATATGGGAAAACAAGCACCTCTCATATGTCAGTGTTTCCATACCTTGGAGTTCTTGTTACAATGCTCAGAAGAAAGTATTAATCCTGGTAAGTTGCTGGGCAAGTCCAAGCGCCTGAAATACCAGACCAAATTCCAGAACACAATGGGATGATGATCTACAAAGTCTGCCACTGTTATTGCATGATCCCCTTCATTTTCAAGTAAGCTTTCAAGCTCTTTCCAGACCACTAGAGGACTGAGGTAAGGAACTGTTATAGGATCAGGACTAGGCAAGCGCCATTCCAGGCCCAAGGAATCCTGGAATAAAAGAGAAATAATGCCTTTAGTTCAAATGTAACTATCTTTACAAAGTCTCATAAATGCTTTTGTTCCCTATGAGACACACCAACATCTAAAAGCTACAACTAACATTGGTTTAAATAATACAACTTAGTATTTCCTGTAATTTAGGAGGGTTAATTCTGTTCTCTTTACTTAATGTTGTTTCACATTTCTCTAATCTATGGCACACATGAAAAAATGACTTTTAAGGTAGAAAAACTACACACTGTTGGTCCTTGCAAAGTAGCAGGCAGGCTACCAGTAGGAATGATATGGCTGATCTTCTGGTTTTCCTTCCCATCTTCTTCCAAAGGACCAAAAGTACTGATGCTCCTTGCCACAGGGTGACTTGTACATTCTGACCCAGAGGTATTTTGTCTTCTTCCTGAGGGGATCTGGATACTTCTGGCACAAACATTGTCATGCTGCTTAGATTTGCTAGTGGAGAGGAAAAAAGTAAATAATCTCATCTTTTTGTCTTACTCTGAGTGCTCAAACACGTACACAAACAGACAGAAATAAACTGGAAATAATTGACCTGACACTTCGAATTCTGCCTTGTCAGCCACCACACTCATTCATGTTCCAGTGCAAGTTTTATTCCTTGCACTGATGATGAACACAAACATCCTCAAAAGAGTTCATAAAACTTGCAGAATTACAAATGCCAACACGAATTTTTATATCAGGGATGAAATGGCAGAGAAAGCTTGATGTAGCCAACTGAGACAAGGGAGAGGCAGCAAAGAGATCCTCTCTCATGTCAGTCTCTCCTCTTCAGAGAGTGTCTTATTAAATTCATTTCAGTTCATAAGGAGTACATGCATATCCCACAGAGAACCTGAGTGATTTCTATGCAGGAAATTCACATTTACCTATTTGAGTTGATATCCTCTTGAACAGACATCAGAGATGTAGTGAGGCCAACAGTGGCTGTGGTGTTACAGGACTTCCCACTCTGACTGGAAAAAAGGGATGGGACCTGCATGTTTTCTGTGGAAGGGCTGGACTTCAGAAAATACCTGCAGGGAAAGAAAAAGCTTGATTTGATCTAAAAAAAACCCCAAACCCAACAAAAACCTCTTCCCAATAATGAGCATTCAAAATTGAAGACAACTCAGACACTGCTCTTACCGTCCCGGCCGCCGAAGGTCTCGGATTTCTATGCTTAAAAAAGGCAGGAATAAGTTGCCACAGAAGGGACAGGTGGTGTTGAGGTTGGAATCATCTGCTGTCCAGCCTGCCATGATTTCTTCATCATGAACCAAACAGTCACAGGTCCGACACCGTGAGCAGCTGGAGATGAGGACCTGCACACACAGGAACAGAACACACTGAACATGGTCTCAAAAATACTCTTCTTTCAAAAAGCACTTAAAACTGCAGCCAAAATCTCTGCCCTTTGGTGAACACCCCTCACACCACTTGCATACTTCACCCTTTTATGGCTTCTCAGATTAAAACCAGTTATTTAATAATATTTTTTATTAACAATAACGTGTCGTTTGTAATCTGTTTGCAAACATAACTGCACAGGAATATTTACACAGCTACATAAATTGTTATTAGAATTTAAACACTTCTGTAATGACTGTCATTATTATACAAACGAGGGGGAAAAAGGATGCTAATGACCAGTCATTATTCTAAATCCAGTGAAAAACAAACAAAATAAAGAAATAGAAGAAAGAGCCAACCAAAAGCAGCCTAACAGTGAAAAGAAAAATGATCTTACCAGAAAATACAACAAGAAATAGCTAGTTCTCTTCTGTATTTTTAAACACAGTGCTATTTAAGGCTTGGTATTTTCACTTCAAACAAATTTATCTCCACAAGGGATTTAGATGCCTGAATTCAATGGCATCCAATTCTCAAACTCTTGAGAACTGGGGCTTTAAGGACCAAAAGGTGTGACTGCAATAAAGACCTTTCTAGAGCAGGATTTGAAATCAAATCTACTCTACCACAGAAATATTCATCTATCTTTCAGTGGTTTAGTCTGAAGCTTTGAACCTTAACAGAGGTTCAGGTCATGGCTAGGCTTCGCGAACGAAGATCTGGGAAGGGCTCTACCCACGTTTCTTGCAAGCGCGTTGGTGGCTAAAAAGGCCAATAAGAGAAAGGCAAGTCCGGTTGCAAAAGACACAGCAGAAAGACTCCTTAGATGGTAAATTCTGCATGGCTCGGTTCTTTCTTTCTGCGTTGTCTTTTCAGAGGTTCAGGTAACATCTATATTTAAAGACATAGGCTTTTAGTGTATCAATTAAAATCAATAAATCATCCTGTACCTCCATAGCATAGTTCTGGAACACGCTGGTACTGCTTGTACTGCAAGAAGATATCAACTCTGATTTGTCAGGTAAAGGGAACTTTGAAAGAGAGCCTGCTAACAGAAGAAACCCAAAGTATTAGTTATTCAGAAAATGCATTTTTAGCAACTTGTTTTTCTGCCCAAACAATGCAGTAGTTATAAAATGTGTGATGGAAGACAACAAACTCGATTTACTCGTAAGCCCTGTGGAGTGTGGGGCCGCCATCTGCCCAGCACCAACCAAGGCAAAAATAAAAGCTACCAACACAGAACTTCCATATGTTCAGTTTTCTTTGATAACAACAGTTGGTGGCTTGGAAACAAATTGTAAGTAATTCATCCCCACACTTTCCATGTGGACAAGAACTAGGGAAGGGTAAGAGGTGCTGTTTGTGGCTGCAGACATCCCTGATCCTTCTCTTTGGCACCATGATGGAGCCAAGCTCCCCTCAGCCTTAAAACCCTCATCTCCAGGTCACCCTCCACTGCCTCTCTCCAGTTCCTCCACATCCCACAAACTGGGAAGCCAGATCCAGGCATGCTCTTCTAAGTGCAAAGTGGAGGGATCTCAGTACACAGATCTCCCTCTCATCCCAATTCTGCTTAACACATTGTACCCCATAATGACAGCAGCACAGAAACTCATCCCACAGTCATGACCAATTATCCAGCACAGACTGGGAAAAGAATCTACAAAGTCTGTCTGAGAATCAGCTTCAACTGTGGCTTACAGAAAATTATAAGAATTTTTAAAAATTTATTTTTATTACTTTTAGAAAACAAAATCAGAGCAATCAAGCCACCATTAGAATATTTTTATAGAAATTTTCTGGAGATGTACAGCTTACACAAATAAGATGACTATATGAATACTCAAAAACCCAAAGAGTCTCCTATTTGCATAGCTGTAGCATCCAGAAACAGGATTTGTGCATGCTATTCCACAAGAAAACCCAAACCCAAGGTTCTACAGTAAGAAAATCCATAGACATGGACATATCTGTATGAGTAATAGTTTGCAGGTAGGAAAGGAAAAACTCACTCTTTCCAGAAAAAGCACTAATCACTGGGATGATCTCAAACTGAGAATTATGGAAGAGCAACTTCTAAAACTGGAATTGTTTTATTTTGTCACAGATTGATGAATGCAATGCAAAAGCTTCTCTTACCACACTGGTCAAACTGTTTAGCTGAGCCATCGTGGGAAGCTGAGCTGTCCAGGCTTGTCCTGCTGAGGCCAATGCCCTTAATTTCTGATGTGGCATTCTCCTGAGGGGAAGCACTTTCAAAATCATTGCAGACATCTTCATCAGTGAGAGAAGTAGATTCTGAGTCCAGAGCTCCAAGAGATGAAACACTTGCTCGGTCTGAATTTTGATCCTGAGAGAAGAAAACACAATTCCACTGAGAAAATGACTGGAAAGCAAAAATATTCCTGAAAAGAAAGGGGCAGCCTTCTTTGTCTCAGTTCATTCAAAGCATGAACCTCCCTCCCTGGAAAATCCCAGATCTGTGTTCAGAACAAGGCAAAGACAAGGCAAATTTCACTCTGGGTTAAACAGTTACACAAGGATTTTCTTAAAGATTCTCATAATAAAAATAACTAAGTGGAAATGTAACAATTTTAACCCTGTAACTTTTTCCCACCGTTGCTACAAAAATTATCATCAGCTGTAGGAATACATTAGGATAGGCAAGGCAACTGTGCCCCTCCTCATTGCCAAGGGTTTTGGGTTGCATTGGTAGCAACAAAGAACATTCTGACAAGTGACCTCAGATCAAAACTAGTCTTAAATCACTTTGGCAATCAATCCAAGCAGATTTCCCTTTTCTCATAAAAGCAATAAAAACTTAAAACCAGTATTGTTTATTTAAGTGGGCTTGTTTTAGGTTAAAAAGGGAAAGCAGAGCAATCTTCATTCTGTCAACACATCAATGTAGACTTACGTTTTCTCATTATAAACACACTCAAAACCCAGGGTAGACTACAATTTTATACAGGACAATAATGTTAGGGTCCTGGTAAATGAAAGAGTGATTAAAACAGCTTAAGTGTACATAGTTTTTAAAGATACATGTCATTCAAATGGGGGATTTATCAGATAAGAGTCAGTGATTAGAGCTTTACAAAGTTTTTTCCTTAATTTATAGGAACTTATATCACAAACATTTACCTTTGAGGATGCAGCATACATTGCAAACTTGGAGTACCACTTGCTTGCTTTCTCTGCAACCCCTTTTCCAGCAGAAAACATGCTGCTTTTTAGGACATCGAACTTGGGTGTTAACAGAGTGTCCAAGTTGAATGAGGGTGATGACACCAGTGTTAATGCACTGGTTGTATCCTGTGGCTGCTCCCTGGCTGGACTGTGTGGGGAATAAGCTGGGGAGGACCAAAGCCTGTCCCTTGGCCTTTCTTCATTTTTTGCCTGGTAACTCTTGGATTTGGTAAGACTGGGTGGCCTTGGCGAGTTTGGGGGAAGGCTGGACCTCCTACAAGGCTGGATGATTGTGGGGCTCTTTTTATTAGCATTTCTGTCATCGTAGGGTTTTTGCAACTCAATGCTTGGGGCACGACTGGACAAAGGGCTGCTCATGTTGTTCATGTACATCACAATTTCTTCAGCCAAATCTCTTCTTGCAGAGGGAGTGGAAACACTTCTATCATCCTCCTCCTCATCATCCTCTTTCTGCTGTTCTGTCTCAGCAACCAGCAGAGACAGTGGGTCAAATCCAGTCTCAACATCTGTCTTTTCAACTGGCTTTACTGGAAAGCTGCTTTTCCTTTGCAGCCTCCTGGATTTCTCACTGGAGGATTTCACTGGAGGTGCTGTAGGAGTTTCTGGTTCTGCATCCAGGTCTTCCAGATCAAAGATAACAGGAGACTCTGTTTTATCTGTAAAACTGCAATCAAAAGCTGCATCTTCATCACTGGATTCTTTCTCCAGGCTTTCTCTCTTAGATCCTAAAGAGGAAGTTCTGATATTAAGAGTTTTTGGCCTTATGCTTTTCTGTAATGCACTAGACAGGATTTTGGCATCAGCTCCCAGTTTTTCAACCATTTCTCCAGGGTTTGCTTCCTGATTGATTCTGTTCATCATGAGTCCCACCAGGCCATCCCCACTCAGGGTCCTGCTCCTGCTTTCCCAAGGTATCTCCCTTAAATCAGGCTCTACTGCACTTTTATGTCTCTTTCTTAAGGATTTACTTTTTATAACTTCTGCTTCACTGGCATCCTCAAAAGGTGACGTAAACAGCAATCCCACAGAACTCTCTGAAAAACAGATGAAACAAGGTGCTCTATTTGTTGCTGTACAAGAAAACTGAACAAAAGTACAAAGGAATGCAAATTTGCCTCATCTTTCAAACATTTTCTAACACAGAGATGGAATTCACTATGATTGTGCTAGGGGTTGAAATGCTGAGCTGACCATGGTCATAACTTTTAGGAAGGGACAGAGACAATAAAACATTTATTGTTTTATTGAGTGAATAAATCATACAAGTCAAGAGTATTGAGAGACACCATCAAGAAGACTTGTGAAAATGCCTCCAAGTTTCTTTTAATTGCACTGCATAGAAACTTCTTTTCCATGCTGAAGGAATTTATTAGTTGCTGGAGGTTATAAGAAAATAACAAGACTTTGGGATTTTTGTAAGCAGATGTTAACTACAGCAAAAAAACCAGAGCAAACAAGAAAAAAAATCTGGAAATGGAGAATATTCAGACACATCTTCCCGACACAACATATGGTGACTGTAACAAACTCACTCCCACAGACTTCATCAGCCACTGCTATCACACCAATAAAATACCAAAAGTTTAGTGGACAACTCAGTCTCACTACTTAGAGCTCGTTATAAGTTAAATATATACACAAAACTGCAAATATTTTCCCTCCACTCACCCCTGTTCCCTTCTGCCATGGGATTGTCAACTGTGCCGTTGAGCCGCACGATGCTGGAAGTGGCTTTGTCCTCACTGGAGTTGTGGTAGTTCAGTTTGGGCAGGCAGTCACCACTGCCTTTTGTGCTCTCCACTTCAGACACTGCACACAGAAAAGGACAGTTCTGGGGAATCCAAACCACTTCTCTTCAATCTCAAGTTCCTATCACCTATCAGGATTAGGAGGCAGCATGTTGCACCTATCCCATGATGCACAGGCTGATCCTGCTTGGGCTCTGTTATTTAGAGATTTAATTCCCAGCATTACTTTTATAACTGAAAGTTCCATTTGCTCCTCTACACAGAGCCCAAAATTCATACCAAGATTTGTGGTGTTTGTGGAGATTAAGACCACCCTTGTTCATCTCATCACCCCCACCACTACACAAATGTTACAGTATTCATATTTACCTCTTGTAGATAGGAAAGACAAATTTTGTTTCAGGTGACTCTCCAAAAGAGAGAATTACTGCTCTAAAGGATTTCAAGCAACTTTAGTATTATCATATTGTATCCAAAAGTGCAAAACATTTTCAGCACATCATATTACTATAAAGAGCCACGAATATCCTAATTATGGCTGAAGGTAATACAAGTTTCATCAGAATTCACACTTTCTGTGTCCTTGGAAGTTTTATTAAACCTAAACAACTTGTTTGTAACCTTACATGTGTGTAATCATGATCATGGGTAAGACAACTTTTCAAGCAAACTGAAGAAATGCTAGTGCTAGAAGAAAGATTGTGGTGAAAACACTGAAACAACTTTACTAATTCCTTATTTTCCTCATACTTTTGCACCACTTGACAATGGGATAGTTAAGTAGTAGGGGAAAGCACACTGAAAAATTTAAGCAATTATATTACTAGGGGAACATTTATTAAGAAGAGTATTTTCAATGAATATATATGGGAATCTGCAGTACTCATACATTTTTACTCCACAATCTGATCTGTTATATGCTTGCATAAAATTGATGCTGCTCAACTGCAGTTAAGGGGATCATGAGCAGCAGATGTAAAACCTGAAGAAAAGAACCCCTTCTCATTTCTGATGCATCTCCTAAATTTTGAGACTTCCAAGGAGCTGGGTAATTTAGATCTCTCAGACTTGCAAAAACTCAGCTGTTCTCCTCTTATGGGATTTATAAAGAAAACAGAATGATAGCAAAGGCTTTTCTATAGATCATGCCTCTAAAGCAATTTAATTTTTTTAAAAGACAAAACCATTAAGCTATAATTATCATTAGGCCTTTATGTTGCCATTATCACTTATTTGAAACAGAGGAGAGAAAAAAAAAGAACTGTAATTTTCAAAGTGAAACTATCAGACATCCAGAAAATTACGTTTAGAGAAAGAACTTAAGGCAGGGCATAAATGGGCATTATCACACACACTCAGTGCAGAAAATCAGCTGTCCCACTTAGCTCTTGCTGAAATCCCTATTTATCCCAAATGAACCAGATATCTGTGTTCACAAGATACGTACAAGAACTGGAGTCACTCTCTCTCTTGTCCTCCTTTTGTTCTTGGATGTCTTGAAGACAAGCTTTCCCTTGCTTGGCTTCTTCTTTGAATGATGTGTTATTGCCAGTGTCTGAAAGTCCCCCTATCATAGCAGGGTGATGGCAGAATAAAGACAATTATGGTATTTAATACTGTGACATTGTTCAACAGAATAAATTGAATATCCACAGTAATTCAAAGGCCTCTTATCAAGTACATTCTAATTAACAGTGAACATTTCAACACACACCAAAAAAAGAAAAAGGATTGGCTTTCTTTCACAGTATAAACATTGAAGTGATGCTTCACAGGATGAAATTAAAGGGTAATTGGCAACATTTCTGATTAAATACTGAACTAAAGCACTGCTTGGCTTTGATTCTGTTGCCTGGTTTATTTGATCAAAATGTAGCATCTTTTCAAGAACCTAAGAGGCATCTAAACATTGTTTGATTTTAGCATAGTTAATGCATCTAATTCTCATGGGTTTATTCTAGAAAGCAAAAAAAACCCCTGAAACAATGCAGAGGAACCATGAGCTTGTGTGCAAAACAAGATTAAAATAAAAATAACATCACCCAAAAAAACCCCTGCAATTATTCAAGACACTTATGGGGTCATTCTTAAGACAAAACACTACCCCAGGTATGACCAATATAGTCTGAGTGATTTCAAGAACCAAATTTACTTCACACCAACATGGTGACTCATCTTCCAGGGTGTTACAAAGCAAATTAACTAAGCAGATAAATAAGGATTTATAATGGACAGAAACCAAGGGAGCATTTCAAGTCACATACACTCCACGTCCTTTATCCAGGTCAGTCCCCAGCAGTCCCCCAGCATCAGGGGATTTACTCTCCTGCAGTTTAGGTGGTACCAGCAAACACCTCTCCCAGATCAAGAGGGTCCAACATGGCTCAAAGCTCCCTCCCCTCTTTTCCCTACAGATACTGCTCTGAATGTCTACAGAGAGGGCAAAAACCTTGTTGCTACTGTAAAGATAGCAAAATATTCTGGAATTTATGGAGCAGTTTTTGGGGTTACCTGAGGAGTCAGCACACATTCTACCTAGGTGCTTTCATGCAAAGTAATCTTGAAAAATCAGGTGATGTCAAAAGCAAATAGTATTAACTACATAAATGGAAGTTTACCTAGTGAAGGACTAATTACACTTCCTTGTTTTACATGGTCTGAGTTGTAACCAGCATTGCTAAGCTCTTATATGACACTTTGCATGGCTGGGTTTCAAAAAAGTGGTTTATCAGGAAGGTCACCTTCGTGAAGAACAGGCAGAAATAAAACAAATTTGTTCAAGGTCATCCAGAAGGTTAATGATAGAGCCAGAAGTAGGACTGAAGTCTCTGGGGTCTAAGAGAAATAATCTTGCCATAAGGCCATCATATCTGTTCTGTTTGTCGGGGCAAAGATTTATCTGTACATATCTGGAATCACTGGAGGACTTTGAAAGATGAGTCAGATGATCTTCATATATTTTTGTGTGTATGTTGTAAAGGCCTTCCAAGGTCAACTACAGCTAAACTATATTGCTGGTAGTTTACAATGTATTATCTTGCTTTACTGGCAGTAAGTTATAAATATCATGTAAAGTAGCACCTATGGAAAAGACAAACTACAGGCACGGCCATAGAACCATTTCATGTTCACATCACGTAAATCTTTACTGGAAGGAAAAGGAAAGCCTCAGATACTGTACTATATTCTACATAAAAATAAAAATTATCACTGCAGTTGGTACACAGAACCTGCAAACAGCACTGCAAACTCAAGGACTAGTTCTAGTTGCCTCTTAACTTAGGTCAAAAAAAGGGAAAAACAAAAAAAAAAAGCAAGGCTGGGCAGAAGCTTCTGCCAGTTATGAGACTGGTTATTGTATGAATTTGATTAATTATCACCAATTTCATGTTCATATTGTCTCCTGAACAACTAATAAATAAAAAGGAGATTTTCAGATTCAAAGATAAAAAGAAGAGACTTTTCTAAAAATTATGCAGGAATTATTATTTTTTTCTCTAAAATGCTTCTATCAAACCCGCAAAAGAAAGATTTTTGGAATAACTTTCTCATCAGCACAGAAATAAAAAAAGAGAAGGATGTGAATACTCTACCAGGATGTGTATGTGTGGTGCTTGCTGGCAGCTTTTTCAATGCTTTTTTAAACTGTGCTATTCCTAAAACAACGTTCCGGAGTTTCATCCACAGGAAGTAGCCACCTCGATTGCTGGAAGGCCAGGTACTCTCCAGAACAGCCTAGTTTGGAAACATCAAGGACAAATCAAGTCATTAACTTCAATTTCAAACTGAGTTACACTGGCAGTTATACAGCAGATTTCTACACTTACAAAAACAAAGACCACACAATTATTCTGTCTTGTATTTCTTCCCATCACTAGAAATGACAGAATGACACCTGAACTGCTCCCTTATTCTGCTCGTTTCTATTTGCCTGGATAAAATCACATATTTTTTCCCCCTCACCCTGTTCCAAAAACTCTTACCTTATTGTAGTAGCCATAAGTGATGGCATTGGGGTCAATGCCAGCCTTCTGCATCTCAAAGAGCACCCTCACAGCCAGCACAGGCTGCCCATACTGCCCACAGAGCTGCATGAGGACCCGGTAGCACACCTGGAAATACAGTGAGTCAAACGTGTGTTCCCCTCAGCAAAACCCAAGGGCTACCCTCTGGAATTTCGGGGTTGACTTGTTTTTACCTCATCAGGTGGGTCTATTTTTTTGGTGTGCATTTTCTGCAGCACATCATAGGCAGTTCTCAGAGCCCTGACTTTGGAGTGGCAGACTTTGACATAGGCAGGCAGGCAGATGAACCAAAGGCCGTAGCAGTGACGCAGCAAACACCTGGACCACATCTGGGGGATGGATGAGTACTTCTTAGCAATCTTATGTGCAGATTTGATTTCCTGGAAAGAAACACAGATTATTTGTCTGTATTTATATGTACATGACACAAACTTACATGTTAAAAACAGAACATGTAGCATGCATGTTCTAGATAGAAAATGCAGTATTACTATCAACAAAGTAGTCAAAGTGGGAAAGAATGAAAGCAGAGTGAGTGATACCAAAACAGTTGCTGTGCAATATTCCAGGGATAAAACCTTGCATTTCTTTAAATTTCTATCTATTACTTCAAAATTTAGAGCCCCCCTAAAAGCTCTGGATAGTGAAAAGAAGCAGACGTGGAAGCCCTACAGTTTGCAAGTGGCAATGTGCACAGGGGCCCTGTAGGATATGATGCAGACAAGAAGCACAATTCAACACAAAAGAACAATCAGCACAGTCACTGAATCAGTGAAGAACCAGTCAGGATTTACAGCCACACTCAACTTGGCCCTTTCCAAAGCACCTCATGCTCCAAGAATACCTGCAAGTACCTGTTTAGTTCTCCTGAACATTGGTGATGGGCTGTTGGGGCTACTGGCTTTTGAGGACAGTTTGTTATTTGGTGCTGTGAGAAATCCTTCAGGTCGTTCAAACAATTCTAGTTTTAGTACTGGAAATCCATTATAGCTGTAAAAGAAATGCAACACTTAAGACCTGTAAGTCAAATCCAAAGCAAAACATGGCACATAATAGCAAAGGAAATCAATTACAGTTGCACCAGAAGCTTCACAGGAAATAAAACACACTAAAGTAAACCTTTAAAGACATGGTTGACAAAGTGGTTTACTAATCCCTCTGCATGATTTCATACGCCTGCACAGTCTCTTAAACTGTTATTCAGCATAAGCAACTTAAATTGATAAATACATTTGCTGTCATAGCATTTTCTTTAATTAATGTGTCAAATGCATTAGTATTGATTCTAGTTAAGAAAAGAAAATAATCTGTGTGGCTTAGTCCCTAGTGAGCATCACATGACAGAGGTTTATAGAAATCAATATGAACAATATCAAACTATCCAAAATATTAAGTAAGATTAGATATAAGAACGTTTCTCAGAATTAATAAGGAAACCAATAGACAAACCCATTTGACACAATTACTAAATTAGTAACAGCAGTTTTCAGTGATTCTGTGATATACTCTTTTTGCAAAGAGTATCTGCAGGTTGTATCACCATCAATAGTAGCAGCAGCCCAACAGACTGGGTCCAATTATTTCAATTTTAAGCTTAAAAGGTGGCAAGAGCCAGCACCAGGTACTGCGATCACACAGCCAGCTTTATCATCATTGCTTCCATGTGCACACACACAGAATTAAAACTTCAAAGGAGCTGGCACACCAGGCATTTTACAAACATGTTTTTACCTGAGCAACACAAAGGGACCGGAAAAATTTTGTCACAAGAACCCAGAAACTACACTGTCCAAGGGCAACTGTCAGGATTTTGGGCAGCATCCTGCTGTGTGCTGAGCTCACCTGTATTGCAGGGGGTGCTCCTCCCCGTTTGGCAGAGGAGGGATCTCAGGGGGGGTTATGAAAACCGTGTGCTCGCTCTTGTAGGACTCATCCAGCTCGATCAGTCGCGTTTCCCCAGTTTTGTCCGTATCCACCTGGAGAAGGGAAGTTAAAAGAGAAAGATGCTACCAGCAGCACTGTGTTTTCTGCTGTTACAAAGAACAGCATCCTAAAAGGAAGGACACCTTGCACAGTTGTATTGAGAGCTCTGAGTGCTGCGTCTTTTTTGTAAACTCTACCCCAACCCAATAATCCAAGTTTTATGAACAGTCTGAATTGACTGTTCTCAGCTAAATACAAGCAGTACAAAGAGATTAATCCTTCTGCATACATTTCTAGAACTATGTTTCCAACTGCAGCAGTAACTTGAAATCTATTTTTAAGAGCTATTTTCTAGCCTCTCTATTTTAACCACTGCAAACAATACCAAGCCTTATCCAATTGTCTGATGTACACAGAACCTACACACACCACCATCCAGCAATTGCAGTCATTTACAGGATCATTAATGTCTTGATTATTTGCAGAGACTGCACAAATACAAATGCTTTCAAAGAGATAAGGGAATAAAAATGTGTGACCTTACTAAAATTAAAGGGGGATGGATGTAACTTTGGTTTTCTAATTTAAATGGTAACCAAATTACAGCCAAATGGTATATTATTTCAAAGAATTGAAGAAGCAACCTGTGGAATCCAAGAATGCATGTTTTCCATGCCTTAAGAGTTTGGCAACAGAGAACTAATGTACAAGAAGCAGCATTTTCCACAGTTATCTCCTTCAGTGAGGTGCAAACATATCAAGTAGTTTCAGTAAAATTCTCGAATATTTAAAGTTTGATAAACATACAAAGAGGTGTCCTTAATTACACATTTTGCTGCGTGAGACAGATGGAAAGTATTAACAAATTGAAGCAGCCAAGGAGAAGGAACATATGGCTGCTGAGAAGCAGCAATAAACTAAACCTTGCTTGGCAATTTAAATACTTCTAAGGACGTAAAAACCCCACAGCTACAAGTCTCACCAGTGAAATATAATCCAGCCAGTAGCTTAAATATGTATGGAATTGAGATAATTTTTGAATTCCTGGGAAAATGAAAACTTGTGAGACAATTACCCCAGATCTTTCAGTCCAGCAAAATGGGCAATCAATTACAATTACAATCTCTGCTGCTGCTGTCTAGGACCAAATAACATGCAGAAGAGATTACAGCTTAAACTATTCTTCCAAATTATTTGAGGCAGGGCTTAGAAGATATTTTATAGATAACTAATTTCACAGTACATGAAATTTGTCTCAACCCAGTGGCCTGTAACTGCCCATAAGAAGGTGTTGTATCACCTTCCAACCCATGACACCACTCCTTCATGCCTACTCTGCCAGGTCCTGGGTCACCCAGTGAAAGGCATTAATATATAAATAAATATTGACTTTATTGGAATAATTCAGTGTTGGTATCTGGTCTTGGCTAAAGCTCTAGTTGGTACAGCAATCCTTGGTATACTTCAATATTTTACTGTGCACGCTACTTGTAAGCAGAGTATCAGAAATAAGAGAAATTAAGAAGAAGCAGGAAAGAGAAGATGAGGCAAACATATCATTGTTCAAAGAAATCCTACAGGGGAACCCTCATATCAATGAAAACCTGGTTTCACAAGCAATTCTAAAAGCATAGTACTGCCAGGGCCTCAGTTTCCCCACAGTTACCACTGGCACAGAAGCAGTTGGCCCTTCAATAAAACTGAATGAAATCCTCAGTGCCAGAAAGAGAAGCTGGAGAAGTACAAGCGCTTCCTGTAAAATTTGTTCTCACAGCACTGCCATGAGCAGTTTTTTACAGTGGAAAGAAGCTGTCCAGGGCATCAAGGAGCAAAATAACTGGCACTGGAACAGACAAGTCTCTGTTTCAGCTGTAAGAATGGCTACTTAACCTTGTAGAAAAGGTGAAAGCCCCAACAGCTCTACAGGTTATGTGCAGGCTCACAGTGCCAGCACCAAGCTAAGCATGACTTTTTTTTTTGTTCTGGAAGAGCTGTCTGAATTCCCAGACCAGATAATTACAATGAGGGCATCAACTTCAGCACCCTCATAAACCATTCTGTGAAATGGAACGTAACAGGTAGAATTTGACACTTAAAAAGTCATTGCATTCTGAATAAAAATCCCATTTAACTCTGGCCAGAGAACTGAACTGTAGCACAATGGAAACCAAGCACAGCTCAATGGTTCAGTCACTGAGGTATTTCTGTCTATGAGATCTTGTGTTTTTAAGCCCAAACTGGCACAGCAAAGCAAGCACTGCATGTTGGAGAGTTTTTAACTGAGCTATAGGATAATCGACTCTACATTACAGAAATGTTTGCAATTAATTCAATTTATAACGCATGAATTCCTGCAAGTCATGCTGCAGAACTGGAAAGCAGAGTTTTGAGAGCTACTCCTACTAAAATATTGAGAGTAGCAAAAGCTATGAAGAGCATTAGACTATGCTTTTACATTTCTCTCAGACTTAAACTTTACTTCTTTCAGATTTCTTTTCAAAACAGCTCTCTTGCACTTCCACATTAAAGATATCCATAAATATGAACTGTAAATAGCAGTTATCAGTTTTCAGTGTTAATTCCCGTGGAACAAACAGCAGGTGACCTACTTTCCAGGAAATCCCAGATAACTGCACTCTGTTTAAACAGCAGTGTCCCAGAATAGTGTTACAGGTAGCCTGTAAGATGGCAACTGGGGGTGGAATTTCTTGTAATATTCATAAAAACAGGGATATAAGACTGTGGGTTTCAGTTCAGTTCTTCTTGCACTTCTCACAATGGGACAGTATTTCAGAAGCTGACATATATGTTCTCATATTTTATTTACAGTCAAGAATTTGAAGCAGAAAATGAAACAAAGCCTGACAAACAAGGAAAATGGAAGGCTACAGAGACTAGAAAAAAAAGGAAGTAAAAGGAAAAATATAAATAGACTTGCACTTCAAATATAATCTGCTTGTCCTGTATCAGGTAATGTAACCACCAGCAGAAGTTCGAAGCTCTGTGCACACCAAGACTTACCTTATCCACACAGTCATCAAAGAAGGCAAGGCTGGCGTCCTTGTCGCTGACAAAGGAACATTCCTCAATGAAGCGAATGAACATCTGGGTTTTGGTCATCAGGGTGTAAAACTTCTGATGTGAACGGTCCCGACTCTTGAGGAAACCTGTAAAGGAAATCAGAAGCAAGTCAGAATGCCCAGAACAGAAGAGTTGACCAAAAAGCCAGCACAAATTCCACTCACGAGCAATAACCTTTCTGCATAATTTTGCCTGCACTTACATTTTCACCACCATTTACAACACCAACACATAAATGTTTTTATTCTTTATGTAAGAGCAAATCTAAAATAATGAATTAATATACACAAACCAAGTTTGTAGCTTCTCACCTTGTAGTTCAAAGAGAGAACTTGCGTCCGTGGCTGTTTCAGAGGGTGCCTCTGTTATCGGCCTGAGATAAGACCTGTAACCTTTCAGTATTGAAGCCATGAAACACAGAAATGCTTCCTGGATCTCCAAATCCAACAGATGCAACTTCTTCCCAGAATTAAAATCATAGTCATTCATTGCCAATTCCATTAATGCATCTTCTCTAGGTCGCTGTTGCACTGTGAACAAAACAGCATTATAATGGTTTCCTCCCTTTTTCCCCCCCTCAACATTGGTAAAAAATATTCTCTTTATCCTACTAAATTCACTGATTACTGAACCCCATTAAGTTTAGACTAGATTAAAATATATGTCAATTCACTCATGATATGCAACAATGGATTCTGCTTGACCTTATATAACTCATGCAATTTTGGATAACACCAAAAGCAGGATATACTTATCCTGTAAGTAATTACTACAGCAGAGAGAACAAGCATAGACAGAGCTTTAAAAAGCCCTCTAAGAAAGCTGGTTGTAAGAACATGTGAAAATCTATACAAGAGCTGACTAAAGAAACACATTTTAGGCCAAACACAAAATTGGGATGTGTTACTTGTTTTTTTTTAATAGTGCCTTTCATTTCAAAGTGCTCCCAAAGAGCAGATAATGCACATTAAATACCTATATATGCAGAAAAACACCACCCAGATGCAAAGTGGAGCCATTAAAATACAACACTGCAAAATGCTGAAACAGAGAGAAAGCTTTTTTAAAAAAGACCTAGAAAAATCTCTATTCTTAAATTTAGGTATTTGTATCAACGTTTTAAAGCTAAGACTTCACTGCTATAGTAATATTCTAGTTATGTCTCAGCAAAGTGCAAGGATGGTTTCATTATTGTCTCTCCACATTTATATATAATTACAGCCAACCTTACACTGATATCATGTTTAAGCAACCTACTCTGCAACAAGAATTTAAGATCACTACCACTCTATTTTTACATAGAGAACATAAGGCCTAAATTTTTTTAGAAAAATGGCCTTACATAAAATATATCAAAATTCTGAAGGAACAGGTGATTTTCATCACCTATCAGTTATACCCTTCCTTGTGCAGCACATCCCAATAAACTTCTGGTTCTGTACATTCTAATCAGGACACAACTTAATTCCAATGACCTCAGTAGCCACAAAGGTGTAAAAAGCCTTTAAAAAAAGAGTATTTCATTTTAATGAATTACACTACCATCATCTCTATCCGTATTTCTGCTTCTCACATCAAGGTTCAACAAACCTTGCTCTGCAATATTTGAGGAACCTATCAACAACCAGTTTTTACGTAGAAATGTAGAGTAATTGTGCCTTAAACATTTATAAACACTGGGGGTTTAAATGTATTATTATCATCTTCAAATTTTAGGTAAAGTACTATTAGCTTGAGTGTCAAAGTTGCCTCAATTGTCAAGATATGATCAGACTTTGAAGACAAAAAAAAGGCCTTTATTAGGTTTTGGCCTTCTGTACTAAAAAAAATGTTTAGTGGAACTGGTGACTTCAGAACATATTTAATTAGCTATTTATCTCCTAATGTGGCACACACATCCAACATAAACCTTATTATTGTACTTTCCTACTCACACTCTGCCAGTTGCTGATATAAAGTATTTAAAGTGTTCATCAGGTTTTTACAAGGTTTCTTTGGTAAGATCTTCCATGCAAGAGTTTTCTTGTCTCCAGTTCTGGAAAGGAAAAAAACAGAGCATGAGGGTACACTGGAATGTGTTCAGAGGATATTCCACCCCACCAGAGAAACTGGAGAATATACCAAATTTACTCCATTAAAACAGGACTGAAAATCAACTAACAAAGTCAAATTTGATTTACTGTGTGGAGGTTGGATCAGAGCCATCCAACCAATGCCCCATATTTCAGGATGATCATTACACTGCCACAATCCAGCACTGAAATCAATCCAGCCACAACTCACAAAAGATGGATTAATGGTATTAATCCCCTGTCACTGCATCAGCAACCACCACTCATGCCATGATTTGAGCTGTAATTACTTAAATTGCATGGAGAGAGTGACTAGAACACATGAAGTAACCCAAAATTAATCTGATATGGTAACTGCTTTCTGTTTAGTGCATATAGATTTGGACTTAATTATCATGATAATTATCATGATAAAACAAATTCCAGTGTTCTTTATCAATAGAGCACCAGGAAGCCTCATGCCCTTTAAGTTACAAAGTTGCAAAAGTTGTAAACATTTGATTGATACTTTTTTCCCCTATGATGAAACAGAATTAACATGTTCTAAAAAATGCATAGAAAAATCAGTTAAAAGTAGAATGAAAACAATAACTAGAATTATTTTCAACTAATGAATTTGTAGTTAATTAGACAAACATCAGAAGAAATGTAAAAAAACATGTTGCTCTTAACCAAAAAGTAACAAAGCCAAAATCATCCCAGCCTAGCTTGAACTAGTTCTTAAAAACTTCAGAGCAGAACTGCTACACCAACTTGGTGTCAGCACAAAATCCTTCACAAAATTTCTATTGACAAATACCTAATATATGGAAACTTCTCTAAATCCACACACAACTGCTGAAGCCAAAATAAACCCACTAATAAGAAAATTTAGGAAGAAAAAGTTTAGAGTTAGGCATAGTAATGCTAAAATCTGCTACCAAGAGGATGATACAAAAGAATCCTGAGCAAAGACTTTGAGATGTTACACCAAGTACATATTGAGTATATTCACACTATACTGAAATAACAGTCTAATTCTGAAATTACAAGTTAATATGTCTGTATTAGAATCTTAAATTAGAAGCTTTACCATCTTCTGTCTTTTTTGGTATCATCTCAACATGAGGTAATAATTCTTTGCTTTCAATATCATAACAATATAATGTTTCCCAGTGGTTTAACAGTGCACTGCTGTCCCTTACCAGTAATTTAGATAGATTAATTAGTGTTAGAGAAAAATGCAGTACTCCACACAGTTATGAGGAAGTAATATTACAATACTGTTATTTCAGTTTGTTAATGATGGCATGATTTTAAGGCTTAATTAAGACTCTCTCACCCATGACAGTTCACATCTCTAATTCTCAATGTGAAGTTCCTGTGTTTCATGTGGAATATGATTTAATTGTTATAATTTTCAAGCAGATGCCCATAAGAAGAGATTAGAATTTCTTCAACACTGAGAAAGCTGATCATGAAAAATGGAAATTCTCCTCCAGGGATAATCAAGTGAGAGACAATATGGTTAATCCAGGAAAAGTGCTAATGTGTGCAATAAGACTTTAATGTAATAGAATAAAAGGCAATAACGTGCCATGATTGGGCCTCCACTCTGCTGTGTTGAACAGGAGATATCATCTCCAGCATGTTCATTTCAAGAGGGATGATACATTAGAAAGTTCAGAGGTTTAAAAGAAACAACCCTCCAAAAGGCTACTTTTTGTCTTTGAAAACACGAAGCAAAAAAAAAAATTAACACAGAAGAAAAATAGTTGATTATTAAATACTTACTGAGAAATTGTGTTGGTGTCCAGGTCTACACAGCTCACATCTGGAGGGGGGTCATAGAGATCAAAGTATCTTGAATCAATTCCCACAATGAATGGGCAGGGGGCACTCAACACATCTGCCAGTGCCAAGGGACAGAGAGGAATATATGGGCAGGGCCAGTGGAAGGGGAATATCATCTTGGAAAACATGCAGAGACAAAAACACAGGTTAAACACGTGTCATACAGCCTGTGCAAGTATAAACCACACTAACTTCAAAATTCTTTAACGTGGCAGATAATTCTTACTGAAGATCCAGATGCAGGGTATTAAAGAAAAAATGCACTAACTTCTCAAAAATCCATTAAGAAAAGCTCTTCAGGATAGCAGACTGTGTACAGATTGTAAAGAGTTGCTTAGTAATGACAGGCAGGAAAACTATGTGCATTTAAAATTCCACAGGAGATAATACAGTGCTAGTTGGGAAAATCAGGAACTCAAGTGCACTGTGATGACCAAACACAACACTTATTTACAATATTTATATACAAAGAACCAGCAACTCTTTCAAGTTCAACTTTTCCAGTTACTCTTTCTCTTCTGTCATTGTAGGATATCATTAGCAGTATTAGTTTTTTCTCTCTAGTGATCTTTTTTTTTAAAGCAACCTTGAAGGCTAACAGCGCTACTACAAATACCAGATTTTATCTAAAACCCATTTTTTTTCCATTTACAGATACAATACATGACTAAAACCCAGTACTTACAGAGACTAATGCCTCTGTGACACTCGTGAGGACAGAAGGTCGCAGGGAGTGGATGAGGATTTTATGTTCTGTCACAGCAAACACAAGCAGAGTCACTGCATTCTCAGGTCCTAAATTCTGAAGTAGTGTAGAAAACTTGCCTCCACTGTTACAGGATATAAACACAACACAAACACACTGGTGAGTTACAAAGCACAATAAAAAAAGAAATGTTCAGTAACAAAATAAGTGTAAATCTGCAAATATTTCCTTTAAAGAAGATTACTTGGTACACTTCACAGTTCAGTGAGGAATGGTCACTTCCCAACAGTAACCATAATTCCCTGAGACTCTTTAACCAGTTGGGACTATTTTCAGGACACATGAATGATGATTTTTCTCTCTGAGAAGCAATTTACAGGGAGACAACATGTCTTTCATTAATCATTCTCCTGCACTGAGACATGAAGGTTAAGACAGTCACAGAACTCCTGAATTCCCTTTGCAACCCAAAAGCTGCACTACCTTGGGAGCCCAGGCACCAACTCCTAAAAAGGGCATCTAACAATTTATATTCTGTCTCAAGAACCACTACACAATTATTTGAAAAAACCTCCCATAGATTGTTAATTAAGAATGTATCCTTGTCAGGTCTAATCTGAATAAACTTCAGGAACACCAGCTTCCAAAGGCACGAGACAAGGTGAGTTAATTTACACAACTCCAACCCAAAATACCAAATCTCTTCCAAGCCACAAATCAGAACACATTTCACAACTTACAGAACATACTGCTACTTGCCTCAGTGGGAGGGGTGATGACACAGGTTGGCTAAGGATCAGGTTATCGTGTGGAGAGAGCTGGAAAAAGATTTTAAAATACATTATGTTTATTCTGACCTTCGGAAATATTTATTGGAAACCACCCAACTATAAGAAAGAACACTTAAAAATTATTTCAATTAAGCTGAACCTTGTACATCCCAGTTGTACAGCACTGTAAGAAGTGCTGTGCAATGACATGCATCAGGATCTTTTAGTAAGAACTGGGCAAAGCACAATCTTACTTTCTCGGTCTGAACTGAATATATTGCATATTCATAAAGAGGACTTTAAACCAGCTAATGCTGCAGAAAATTGAATACATTAACTGCTGAAAAATGAAGCCCTCTGTATTTTAAGGGCAGTGAGGACCCACAGTTCATACACAGCTTTCAGGGGCCGGGGGGGATTCATTCTGGATTTAGGGGAAAAGAGGTGGATAAAAATTCATGAAGGGGAGAGATGGCAGGTCATAATGTAAAGCCATATTTTCTTCAGAAGACATGAGAATTAGGCTCTGGACTGGTAGAGACTGCTCAGCTCTGACAGAATCTTTAAAATTTGCATTAGCTGAAGATCCAAGACAAAGATCCTATGAATTCACATTTCTTTCTTACAGTGACATGACATCAAGCAAAACCATATATTAATACATATATTCAGCATGCCTGGGAAGACTCATCAGTACAACACCAACACACAGTCAGTTTATCAAAGCTCAGCTGATGTTTTCAGCCACAGGAAATCCGAGGTAACAGACACCAGCTGGCTTAATCCTCCCTATATTTTTTATTGTATAAAAGCAGTAGTAACTCAGTAAGTTGTAACCTGTACAACTAAGCTGCAAGTTCTGACAACGTTTAGAAATGTTTCACTTTTGTTTCACCCCAGACCCACTGCAGGTGACCAGATGACAGAAGCCAGAAGGTAAGACTGATGACCTAGAAGCTCTCAGTCACCCAGGGCTGTGCCTGAAGACTCAGCAAACGTTAATTGGAATTAAGGAGTCCCTGCAATGCTGCTTCCCTGCACGTTTCACATAGCAGAGCTGACAAAGGCTGCTGCTACATCCCATTCCCTGACAAATGAGGATGGCCACACCACTCCACACGCTGGATTTGTCTTCCAGTGAGTCACCTTGTGACCACCAGCACCATTAGCCTGTTCAGTGGAAGAATTCAAAGGACTCATTTTTCAGCCTGAGGCAACCCTCATAAACTACTCCCAGAAAAGAAGCATCAGCCTGATGTCCTCTGACTTCAGTGTTTCAGCAAAGGCAGATAAACACAATTAAATCTCTATTTGAAGAGCACGTCTCCCTCAGGCAGAAGGGGCACTTATTGCCCCCGTTCTCCAGAGGGAGAAACATTACTCCGTGCGCTCCTCAAGTTTGCAGGTTGTGAGAGTGTCATTAGCACAGGAACATCTGTGCAATAAGGGGATGTAGGACATGGAGAGCGGAGTCCAGCAGATTTCAGGTCAGAAGGAGCCTATCAACAGCGGCAGCTGCAAAATGGGAACATTCCGCAGTGTTTTCCTAATGGCTGTAATTTCTTTGAAACTTTAAAAGTCAGAGACAAGCCAAGTTCTCTCTCTCACTTGTCACAGATGCTAAGCAGGATCTAAGAATGGGTTACACATCCAGACTGGCACACACAGTTACTAAAATATACCAGGTGTCATTTTCAGAAAGCACATTATAGGAACCTGCAAGACATTCTACAGATACTGCAGAATTGTTTAGCAAAACACTACCATGCTTTAGTTAACAAGCTTCAGAGAGAAATTACATTTCTTCCATGAAATGGGATGCTAAAAGCTTGCAGTTTTCAGTAATACAGGCATTTCCCATACTATTTTTTGGGGAAAATCTTAGGTATGATCTGGGTTTTTTTATTCAGTGCAGTTTCAAACACAACTCAAGTCCCTGGAAGCAGCTGGAAGGGAGTATTTACTCACAGACCTCAACTGCCTACTGTACAAGCAGTGTGTTCTCCATCTGTACTATCAGCTACTACAGTTGTACTAATTTGATGCACAAAACACACTGAAAATAAGGTATAACAGACAACATTTCACATCACTTATATCCAGGCCTGGGATATACACCCATGTATATACTCTGACAGAGTTCCCTAAAACATCAGGCTAAAAAAATTAAATGCTTTTCTTTAAACTCAATTTTACTGTCCATAAATATGTGTTTAGTGTTTCCTGGCAGAAATATTTCATTGAACGTGAATACAAAAAAAAAAACAAACCAAAACCAAAACAAGGTGCAAAACTCCTGGGTTTTGAATAGAACTTTAAAATCATAAGAAAAGGGACAGAAGTGTCAGACACAGTTTCAGTGTGACTGTTCTCCAGCCCCTTTTCAGTAAGAAATATCACTTCTTCAGAATAACCAAGTAAGTGAGGAGGATCTTCAATATTCAATATTCACTACACACTATAAAGACATAACCCAAGATTGTATTTGCTCTGAAAGGCTTCACTACCACATGGGCTACACAGCTAAAAACTGCACAGGGCTCTCCATATTTTATGTTATACAAGAAATAACAGAGAATAACAATTTTGAAACGACTTAATCAAAACCACAGGATTGGTAGAACATTACAACTAGAACAGATATCTCTGCAATAAAATTTTAACATTTTGCCTCCTAGGAGGAAATAAAAAGAAGATTTAATAACACTTCAGAAGCCTTTGAGATCAGGATTTCCTCTCTCCTGTCAACGGTGACAGAGCTGAAATTTCAAGTAACAGGTAACAATTTTTGCAATTATTTCACTCCCAGCCCTGCAGGTAGGACAGAATAAGGGTCATTTTTGATAAAGTGCCCCTTGTTAATGTGTGTGGCTCTTGCAGGTCTCACTAAGACCACTATGGAGAGGACAGGATGAAGCCCTTTGGGAAGAGGGGTAATCATGAATATACACTTCACATCTGCTTTTAATTTTATTTATTTACTTTACACTCAGCCTCCATACAGTAGTAAGAAGAAAACAGTTCAAAAGCTATTGCAAAGTCAAACCAGATGCTGACTTTGAATAGTTTCTCATTAATTTCCATATACTCTGAAAAAAATTAAGCTCTAAGCTCACTGAACACTTTCTTGTAATAATTGACTGAAGTCTGAAACTGGAAACAAAATTTTTACAGATTTCTCACTGTTAAGTGTATGAATTTAGGGGAAAAAAAAAACAGAACAAAAAAAATTTGGAAATAAAAATTACATTTTCCATTCACTAACCTGTTCAACAGCTGTTTTATCTTCACTTAAGACACAGTTAGTAAAGAAAATTACACTTACCTGAACTAGAATTCTTGGCCTCTGAGGGGATGGAAAAGGAACTCTATGCATGAAATGGGAAATGTGTCTAGAGGAAAAGAAAAAAATACTGATTTAGTAGAAATTAATCTTAAACTGCTTTACCACAAGACAAAATTTTTTCCAGTAGGAGAAATTATTACACAAAAAAATGGAACATACTCATTCAGAAAACAGAGAACAAAAAAACCCAGCACCTAAACCCTAATGGAATATTCTGACCTTCAAAATCTATTTTTCTCCTGGTGACAACCAAAATGAGAGACCAGATTATCTTTCAGAATACAAACTCGGTTTCTGAGACTGAAAAATTCAAAGAATTTTTTTTTTAATTTGTAAAGTAGAAATATTGATGTTTGAGTATCACGGTACCATTTTATAATCCTGCTTCAGAGACAGTTTGAAATAGCACCATCCCTCAGAGACCAGCACTGGTTATTTGCAAAAAATATTCACAGCTGAATATCAAGGAGAGTCATTTATCTCATCCATTTTCTTCACTTCTAAATAGAAAGTGTTACATAAAATTGCTGATGAAAAAAGTAAAGCTTTTCCATATATACAAATACAGAAAAATTTTAAGAATTTGACCACGTTCTCAGTTTTATGAATTGATTAAACTTGCATAAGTTCTAAAGGTGTAGTTCTACATAATAGATACTTTCACATTAAAAGAAAGACATGCAATCAGTAAAAACTCAGGAGAAACAGCTATTCCAGCCTAAACTAAATGCTACAGCACATCCTTCATGGGATTTCTGCAACTCTTACCATTATGACACAGACAACCACCCAAATTTTGAAGAAATTCAGACAAACCCACAAATAAACATTGATTTGGGATTTTCTTCTCCACTACCAGTGTATGAAGGTGGTGGTCAAAATATGGAATATTGATCACATAAGGGAAGGGCCTGCTGCTTGTGTTCAAACACGCATGGCACAGATACCCATCATCATTAAAACAGCCAGAGAAACCAGGCTAGATAATATATTAGAATCATATTTGAATTATCCAGGGTAAATTGACCAGTCAGTTTACAAATCAGAGAAATTAGAACACACAAATAAATCCAGAGAAATCAAAATTAAACATTTCTTATATTTACCTCTCATGTTATTCATTCACAAAAGCCAGAACCCCAAAAACCTCAGCTTAAAAAAAAGTTTACACTCTTCGAATTTTAGAACAAGTACAGTGATGTGAAGTGGAATAATGAAGGGGATATAAACAACCACAAGAAATATTTAATCCTCATAAAGGTTAATATTGAAGTTTAAGCAGAAAAAAAAGACTGCCATGCAATAAAACAGGAAAGCAAATGGTGTATTTGAAATCTGATGCATTAAAATGTTACTTTAGCCTAGAAATGTTAAATGGTGTTACATATCAATTACAGGTATCGACCACTTCTGGGGTGTGAGGACTTCCACTGCATCTTAAAATGTGAAATCCTTTGTGTGAGAAGGAAATTAGTTTTATTTATCACTAACAGAAGAGAATTACTAGTGCAAAATATTAAATCTGCTTTATCATCTCTCATTACACTACAAATAGGCATTTGAAAAAATGCTAACCTACGTATTTAATTCTCCTGACTTGATGTGTGCAAGATTAAGAAAGGATTTATAATCTTGCTCCTCACTATGGCTAAAGGGTGCAAAGCTAATTAAAACAGCTTTCAGAGACCTTCGCAGGCACTTAAATCACAAATAAAAACCTAGACTTTTTCAGGAAGTAAGTAAAGATACATTTAATCACAGGAGAAAAGTGTTTCACTTAGTGTAACCATTATATTGATGACTAAGGTAAAGAAGTATTACAGGAAATTTAGAATAAAAAAAAAAGAGCTCTCATCAACTGCAAACACCATTATTAATGTTGGAAATCACTTACTTTTCAATGGGAAGGACATGTGGCCCAGAAATGGAGTAACGATACAGAAAGGTGAGAAACTTCTTGAAAGCATCAAAGAAAGGCCAGTGGGAGAGCAGACAGATGCATTTGTTTGTCTGAACTGTTCTGCACGTGTCTGACTTGCCCTCAGCAGCAGCTGCCAAGCCCAGCTGAGATCTTTGTTTCTCTGTGAGGTTCTCTTCGGGATACAGCTCATAAAACTGAATAGCAGCACCATATACCTGCAAAAAACATCGTGGGGTTGAAGTCAGTAATTCAGCCTCGATCCTCAAAGCAACCCGAAAAAACCCCAAACACACAAGGAAAATCAAGTCCGTGTTACTGCTTGAAAAGTTGAATTAATGCATCATCTTTTGAAGCAATTTATCCCAGAATATTCTTATGGCTGTGAAAATCCAGACTGTCTATTAATTATTTAAAACACTTAAAAGTCATATGAGAAAGAGTAATTTATGAAACCGTTTAAGGGAGAGAAAAATAATGATTATGGAGGGTACAACTACAGTCAACTGCTCCTACAATTGCCTTTAGAGCTATTTTAGAAATCCTTTATATGCAACTCAAAGCAGTATTCCCTGACATCCAATTTACTTTTTAGAACAAGTATGTACATGCAAGGTCGTTTCCATGCTTGCAATAAAAATAGAATACTTGTATATGCAGTCAAATTTTATAGCTCTCTAGTTTCACAGGCTAACAGGACTGGAAAGCAAAGGAATACAGGTTTATGATCAACAGTCCAGCTCTGAAATAAATGCAAGTCACTCTTTACAGCAGCCTTTGAATTAAGCCCAAATGAACAGGTTCAAGTTTGCCTCTGAAAATGTTCATTATCATAATCCTGAACAGATAAACAATCACACTTTTTTAATTGAATTATTAACTTTTTTTTTTAAGCTTTCAAAGTACCTTTTCTGCAGAAGCTCCAGTTAGCACAAAGGTAGAAAAAACTGGGAGAGGGTATTTACTGTTTGATGGCCAACATTCAATGGTTGCACCCATAGGCAGACAAAAAAGAGGCACAGATTCTGGTAATGGGAATGATTCATAATCTTCTTCAGGATATCTGCATATTAAACCTAGAAAGGGAAGGTTTAAAGAGGCAGTTATGGAAGGAACAGCAGGAGGAGACTTGTAATAGCTCATTCCACAAAATATGTCTAGAAAATTCATATATGAGCCTACACTAACTTCAGAAGATCAGTAAAGTTGTAAATTAGGGAAGAGCTGGAAGGGGAGATGCTGCCACAGCCTAAGGAGAAATCACCTGACTAAAGCGTTGGACTGAAATCCTACTTTCCATTCTAGGAACTATTAATAAGTACTTCATCTTTTTCTGTTTGCAGGCTTTGTGCATCTCAGCTGTTATATTGTAATAGTTCACATTCATCATCAGTATGAGCAAAGATTTAAAATCCAGTTTAAGAAACGGTACCATGAATAATTGAGAAATAAAACTGAGGTTTTCAATTATGCCAACAAAAGTTCCCTGAGAAATATATATATATGTTAAATATTAGATTTTTTTTTAATATCAATAGAATCAATTAATTATACTGATCCACCTCAGCCAAGGATTCAGCTACTGTGCTGTGAGACCAGCGTGTTTAGACTTCATTTTGAATCCAGCTGTAAAACATGCAGTTCTGAAGCAGAGGCTTTTAGCACTCAGGTCTTCAGTTACATCACATGGCTGGAGCAATCCATCCTGTCTGACTGCCAGCCCAGGGGACTGCAAACTGAGAAGGGATACTGCAGGAAAGGATTTGGGATTTCTCTGCATTACAGAACAGCATCACTACACGCTTTTCTAATATAAAGTGGAATATTAATAAGCAATAAAAACTGGTAATCAAGAAGGGCAGTGCAGTTTCCCCCCCATCCAGAACCAAAATTTTGTGCAAGCTACCACCAGATGTGGGGCCTTTTAACATTTTTATTTATTTACAAATTTACTGCCCACCTTTTAGTACAACCTAAACTCCTGTTGTTTACAGAGAGCAGCATCTCAAAGGCATATAAGTGAATTAAACCTTAAGTCTGAATCACGCTCATGACTTGCATGCCAAACAAAATCAGGGTTTAAAAAAACCCAAAAATGAAAACCCAACACGTTTCATCAGAGTCACAGCAAATCTAATTCTGTCTTATAAATAAAACAACAAAACAAACATGATACACAATCCAAAAATACTTAAAGAGCTCAGTGCCACTGATGCTCAGGGCAATGTGGAAGTCTACAGGATTCTTCAATATGTTTCTTAAAGAAAGTGATCATGCAAATGTGTATATACATACACACACACATCCTTAAGAGACAGAAAATTCTAAAACAAAATAGTCATGATACATAGTTCTAAGGCTTATTTTAGGACACTGTTTTAAAAGATTTCCTTAGGGAAAGATTCCCTTTTTGATAATGGCAAGACGGTGTCCAATAATTCTTCAATACAAAATGTATCACATTACCAATGAGCCTGTACATCCTGAATTGAAATAAGGAAAAGCTAAATAGTAGTTACATACCAGCTTTATATGATATGGTGTTGGTTTTTGCCACAGACTTTTTGTAACATAAATATACTGCTGAGCCCCACTGTAAAATAAAAAAAATTACTGGATTAAGTGATGAAATATAACAAAAGGATATAGTAGAAAAGAGTGGAGGAAAACCTCACACTGTTAATAATTTTAAGTTCTCAAATTCTGGACATGAAAATAAAGAACATGGAAAGCCATGGGACAGAAAAGACCAGCACCCTCAGAGGGAACACAGATGTAACAATTTCCATAAGACAGAACTTCCATAACCCAGAGAATACAGGGACTGGTAGAACTGAGAAATCCATTTGTTAATGCCTATGGGCATTTATTGAAAAACAAGCACAAATCAACTCCTAGGATCTTTTTAACATGATCCTACTTGCACATGCAGTCAGCATCCTCATCAGCACACTGACTTCTGAGGACCCTACAAGTGCCAGGAAATAGAGCTGCAAATTTGAGCAGGAGACACCTAAATACTGGGTTCTGCAAATCCAAGTGCTGTGACACCTGTGTATTAATTTAGCAGGTCAGGAACCATGTGAAGGGTTTAAGTAGGTTTGCAGTCAACAGCTTCCAACATCACCTCACATGCAACTTTCTTCAAATAAGAAGTCGGTGAAACTACTGAGGAGATTAACATTTATAAAATAGCATTGTAGGTGATGGGAGAGTTTTAGAACAAAACAGAAACTGGTTGTTAGATACAGAATTCCCATGACACCAGTAAAATCAGTGTCAGAAACAGGCACATCTGTAAAACCTCTGGTGACACAACAGGTTCTGAAGGATCAATCCAAAGCTGCTGAAGTCAGCATTTCCAAGTCAGCACTAAAAACATTTGCTCCAAGGCTTCCAAAACTACTTTGTTCCAAGCAGTAACAAAGGAATGTAATCCTCCAACTCTTCCAGTATTTGCTTTATCTTTGGAGAGCACTTCTCAAAATTTTTCACCGGGTACTCCACAAGCTGCCACAAATACTCCTCAAATGTTACATCACTGATTAGCAAGCGTCCGAAATGCAGATTTTGAATCTTACCATGCTGTTATTAAGGTTCTTGTCGACCTTGCAGAAGGTGTGTGGAGGGGTCTCCCCCTTGCTGGGGATGATGATGCAGATGTCTGTGACAGCCAGTGCGTTCTGGGTCATGTTCTCGGCGGCCCTGCGGTAGGTGATGAACACGCGCTGGGACGAGGCACTGCCACTGATGTTGGCAGGACGACCATAGGGAGTGGTCTGGATTATTTCACAGCCTTGCTTCACTCTCTCTTTCCCATCATATAAAACCCTAGTTAAAAATGGGATGGGGAAAAAGTCAGAAGGCACATTTTTAAAGCACTTCGAATACCAACACTACACTGAGAACTGTAACCAAGTAAAACTAATTTAATAGCAGCTCTTACATCATCTCTGAACATTTTTACAGATCACATTATATCAAACTGCATTCTAACAAAAAATCTTCATGACAAAACCATACTAGTTTTCCTCACATATAGTTCCTTTTAAGCACTTTGTTTACTGCAAAACAGTGTTATTTTCAGTACTACTAAAGATTCATTCTGTGATGCTAAGAATGTCATACAACTCCCCTCTCTTCACTCTGTATTAAATAGGTTAAGCATTTTATCCCAATCTAAGTATATACATTGAAAATTGTAAATGGCTTTGAAAACTCCAAAATACGAAGGATCACAGTTGCCATTAAAATCCACTCAGCACTCCTTTTCCCTATCATACCAGGTTACAGCGTTCTCAAGATAACAAATATCTTCCTGTTTAGAGCTTTGCCTTGTATTTAAAAAGTATGGTGCTTCAAGAAACCTGCCTTATCTGCTCATTAGTCAAATAAACCTGTGAAAATCACCCACTGGAGCAGAAAAACCACTCACCCCAAATCAGTGAGTGGGGGCTTGTCCCTTCCCCGGCGATAACAAAGGTATATCTGCGGTCCTACAAGGCTGCCATTGTTGAGATCCGCAGACAGGCCTGAGGGAGTGACATCTATGCACTTATATCCCTGAGGAACTTCCTCCCCCAGGGATTTATTAAGCACTGTTACATCTGTGATGGGTTCTTTTGGCTTGGCTATTTTATGGCAGGCGTCATTGAAGTGGATTTCCTCCTCCAGTGGTTTGGAGATGTCTGTTAATCCTGCGACGACAAAGTAGTCGGCAACACGGGCCCCTTTGTCTTCCATCTTCCATCACAAGATGTTGTAACTGCTGAGAAAGAAAGGGATGCCAGTGCCTGTGAAGGCAATTAGAAGATATCAAAAGTAATAAAGTGATGTTTATTTTTAAAAACACACAATAGAAGAATACAAAAGGAATAGATTCAGCGTCAGGTCACGTAGCACTTTTCATTTGTAATCACACCCTTTCCAAGTTGGGATTCTGAGCCACAGTTTTGTGAGTTAATTGTTAAATCCTGGAATGGAAAACCAGAGTGGACTCTCTGTGTTGACTTACACACTGGAGTAGCTGAACAACAGGAACAGTAACATCAAAATTCTGTGCAAAGTTTTGCAAACAGGTCACTATTGGGCCAAAAAGCAGTTCTTGTGTATTTTGCCTACAGTCTATTACTGCATTCAGCTCACCATGACAATGGATCTTCCAAGGCTTCATCTGCAATTAATTTCCTTCCTGAATATTAAACATATATGCAAAGGCTGTCTTGATTATTCTAAAGATATAATATTTGCAGCTGTCTCACTCTGTAAGATTTTACATCAGATATCAAGGTCAGATCTTCATGGAGTATTTTTTCAGGCTATAAGTTGATACCATTTTATTTTATAGTGCTTTGGGACTCAGATCCTTGACAGGCAACTCATCCACAGCCAGGGACATACCAGCTTTTATACAAAACACTTAAACTGAGTCAACTTCAATAGAGCACAGACCACTGTGAAACAAAAACATTCAAGACCACATGAAGTTTTTCGGAATGAGAAGGAATAGAGTCCTGCTGTTCCAGCCAAACTGCGTTGGGAAATTATATTCTTTGTTCCTGGAATGCATTGATAAAAGAATTCTTTACATATGAACTCTTCCTGTACAGTATTTTTTGCAGTGCTTGCTGCCAATGTTGTAAATTAACTTCAGCTCAGGATACACATCTGTGGTGGGATGAGAAGACAAGCAATGCAGGGCACTACATGTCAGGAGATTCAGTTTTCTCTTTGTCAGAAGCTCTTGAATGCCTTTGCAAGTCACTTAAAATTCACGTTTTACTTATTTTACAGCTTGATAAAGCTGTAAATAAAGAAATAAAGATAATGCAAATAAAGAAAATGCTGTTTCATGGAGTATTGACAAATGAGCTAAAAATGTTTATCCAAGTCACTCATATGTGCTGGAATCTTGCTAAAGTAGCTTCAGGAAGTTTACTGTCATCAAGTTCCAGACTTTTTAAACCAGACAAGCTATTTAAGACTCCCTTTTGTTAAATTAATTTTGTTTGGGTGCAAAATTTTGTTGCAAGAGAAACTGTTACCACGCAGGAGTTTCAAGAGCTTGCTGACATTCAGAAACTGCACAAACAGAATTTAAAACAGTCTGAGTGGTTGGTACAAGACTTCAGTTTTCATGGAACCTTTTTTCCCTTTGCTTTATCTCCCTTTATTTTTTGGTCTAGGTAGTTGAGTATTAAGCTTTATCAAACTTCATGTCATCATGATTCTTGGATTTATCCAACAAGTTTTTGTTACAACAAAATAAATTTGGACATCTCTCACTGGTAATGAGGGAAATTATGTCAGAAATTGATATTGAGCATGTGATCAAATTGTTTCAAGCTGGCCTCAGATTTCCAGCCCCAGTTCCTGCTCAAGGAGGAAGAATGTCAGGCTGTGCTTGATCACCCCTACCAACCTCATCCACCCCTGCAAGAGAGGCAATTCCAGCCTCCTTCCCGCTCTTATTCTGTAGGTTGGTTGTGTTTTGCTGGACTGACTCACTCAACAAGTTTCTGAAGTTGCAAGGAAATGAGTAAAAGTTTTTATTTAAGGTTATTTATGTCATTCAAGAAAATGCCAAGAAAATACCTCCCAAATTGTCTAACCTTTATTTCTTTCTATATGGTTAATAGGCAATATGGGACGCTTCAGAACACGTGATTCCTGGGAAACAATCATCAATGTACAGCAGAGTAACTGTTTGAAAATAACTGCTCAGCTTGTGTTTGGAGAGAACAGAGAATGTAGTCACAAAACTAAGCTTAATTTAACCTAAATTCAGTTATTTCAAAAACATCTGGAATATGTTCCTCAGCATATATGAAAGTAATAACTACAAATTCAAACTCCTCCTTGAGTGATATATCCAAAGACACACAAATTCAGCCTCTGCATATGGTGCCTATTATCTCACTGTCCATCTGGCTTCAGGGAATCCAGACAGGCTGGGAACAAATGCACGGAGAGAGGAAAGATATTTCACAAAGCATCTTTAAACTGACACAAGACCAAACATTGACATCTCTCAGCTAACAGGACCGAAGTTCTAACTACTTTGAAACATTAACAATTCTCTGTAAAACGTAACCATGGTATACCACATTTTAGCTACCATAATATTAAGTTTTGTTCCTTTTCCCACCAGCATCATTTCACAAACCTACACTGATTTCTGGAGTGATTCACAATGCCTTTTAAGCTGAAATGAAACCAACATTTTAGTAATCAAAAATTCTACAAATGACGGCTGTTAAAATTGCAAGTAAGCCTTTTAACTCCAATGCATTAGCAGCCCTATTCCAGTTTAATCAGCCAAGACAGCATCACAAATAAACACAAAGACATATATATTATACTGAAGAATCATACTTATCTCACTATTCATTATTTCATACTAAGTTTATACCAAAAGTCTTAAATTCAAACATTCATTTATTCCCAAAAGCACTTTCAAGAAGAACTGGGACAAGCTCTGCTCATTTAGAGCCAGTTAAAATTAGAATCCCCTACATACAAACACCTGCTATCACACAAATTTGCTTCCTAAGGTTATAGCACATAATAGACAAGTCAGCAAGACTTTCATAACTTCATGCAGATTTTACAGAAGGGAGGGGGGAAAAAGGCCTGGCTGATGATGCATCATCCCTTCAAATCTGCCCCATCCCTGCAAGTGTCCAAGGCCAGGTTGGACAGGGCTTGGAGCAACCTGGATCAGTGGAAGGTGTCCCTGTCCATGGCAGGGGGTGGAACTGGATGGGCTTTAAGGTCCCTTCCAACCCAAACCATTCCGGGATTCTATGAAGATTTTATCATCTTTGTCTTTTGATACAAAGGCTTGCAGCTAAAAATGGGACAAAATGCAGAAGATACACTGCAGGGGTATTTTATTTAAGCTGACTTAGACTTTACTAGAGCTGCCCTGATACTGAAATTTTCAACATCTGGTTACTGGGAGAGCAGATTTATGCCAACTTCATGTTAGCAGACCCCAGAAAGAAGGTATATAACTGTGAGTTAACTCAGTGACAAACAATCATTCTGTGAAAAGCATTTCACATAAACTGATGAATCTGAATAATTTCTAGAGAAACTTTTAACATGAAGGTATTTCAAAGCATGTTATACACATCTCACAGTGCAGCAAGTCAGCTTTGAAAAAAACCCCCAAAACAACCAAGCATAAAAACACGCAAGAAAAAGAAAACAGAAAAAGTCACAGTGCACAATAGCATTGCTTGAAGCAGCTGGTTCCAGATGAAATTCAACATTTACACTTAGTGCCACACTGAGAAGCTTCTACTGCTTCTCTACACTTCAGTAACCTGAGGATGAGAGGCTGCACTTTGAAGACAATGCCATGGGATCATAACCTCTTACAAAGTCCCTGGAAACAAGTGCAATCCATGGTCTTTGAGCCATCTCATGACAATCATTTTTAATAGACTGCATATAATTAATACCACTATAAACTGAACATCAGAAGCATCAGTAAGAATCTAAACCTTGCAAGTAGCACAGTCACTTGTAAAAACATTATTAAACACACACACAGACTTTGCAGATCATGACTATATAAATGTGGGAGAAGAGGGCTTTTTGCCATTTCTAAAAATATGGGAACAGGGGAAACAATCAGATAATCCTCCCACACAACTACAAACTATTAGCTTGATTACTCTGCTGAAAGACAAAGAGTAAACTCAGTTTCGTTGTTTATTCAAGTTAATTTTCTAATATCTTATATTTTTTCACAAACATTTAGGGAATACTAATTAATAACTTTTGCTGCCTGTCACCAGTGTTGTAATTCAACCAGTGTCCAAGCTTTTTGAACAGATCACATTTCTCATTCAAATGCTCTAAGAGGAAAGCACACATCAGCTTTTCCCCACCACATGACCTGCTGTGGATGAGCTCTGGATGTGCAGCAGGAACAGGAGTGATGCTTCACGAAGTAGAATTTACTGTGGTTGCACTGCACTGTTTGCATGGAAAAAAATACTGATTTAATTCCTTCAACCTGCTCCTACCCACAGAATTTTGTAGAGGTAACTTGTAAGTGGCTGCAGACCAGAAGAACTGCTCCAGTCATTCCAGCTTCTTCCAAGAGCCAGCTTTCCCAGACAGCAGCAAGGACCATCTGACTCCATTAGAACAGTTTTGTCAGTCCACCTCTGGCAGACAAATACAACTGCTTTGTAATCTTTTAATCTTCCTTGCCTTCATCCTCATTCCTTCCTGCATTTTTCTTTGAGGCTATTAAATGGCTTATTAATTTGAGTTCCTTATTAGATCCATTTGCTGTTTAAAGCAGGTGACATTTTACTTTGTTAGCCTGACTCCAAAGACATGTTCCATTTGTAAACAAGGAATGAATGTCTCCTAGAGCAGGTTGGAAACCAGTGCAGGGCTCTGCAACACACCTTTTTAATTAAGCTTTGAACTGTTTTAAAACATGGTGATTTTTTTTTAAAGTACTCATCACATAATCATATTCCAAGAACTTCCTTCCTTTGAAGGCACGTGACGAGTAAATGAAGAGACACAAATTGGTGGTCAATTATTAAGAATTGTCAGTAAGTTCTAAGAGTCCCCAGTAACTCAACTCATCCCATGGATACTGTTGCATTACCCAGCTGAAGGATGCTGCTGACAGGGACATGGCAGCTGGTCATTCAAGAGCAAAGTGAAGTTAACTGGACCAGTCAGTCCTGCTGTGGCTACTCAGGACCATTTTTCAGCCATGACACAGCACTAATCACATGAGAGCTCAACAGTCTCAAGAACATGTGAATAACTGCAGTTACACAAGGAAAAAACTTTGTGTTTCCAAAGCTGCCTGGCAAAAGTTATCAGACAAGGCTTTTTTCCCCAGTATTTCCTTCACAGCAAGCAAACAATCCTGGAAACAAAGCAGAAGCACCTCTAGTACCACAGGAATTCCCAAGTCAGAACACAAGCCTTTTGACAACTCCAGCAGTGTGTTCCCTACCTTTTCATCAGGGCATTGCTTCTACACTTTGCCTCTCTTGCTGTCAGCCAGGCTTTAACATAGACTTCTTGTTAAAGTTTCATTCCCTATAGAAACAGTAAAAACAAGAATTAAACAATGCACACATTTGTTCAAACTTAAATTTCTGCACACTGCACTGCTTCAGTCACATGAAATGAACTCTGTGAGTTGTTGTAGGACCCACTAGCTAAGATAAGGTTACATGTCACTTGACTATTAAGAAAGTACGAAACCAGACTTTAAACTTAAGAAACAAAATATCAATGCAGCACATAATTTGATATTTTAAGAACGCAAACAACATTTGATGCTTTAAACCAAAATAAATCAAAGCACAGTTGAGCCAGCCCCTTCAAATGGTCTCAACTCTTCCATTATTTTCTGACAATCGATACCTTCATGTCCATTCCCAGGACTCTGCCAGCCACCAAAGTGCTCTTTCAGCCCAACAACCTTCCCAAGTCTACTTCAAATCATTTTTCTTTGCAAGATTCTGATATTTAAGCAGATCTTTCTTACTCCACAATCAGCAATACACACATACTCTTCCATCCAGCACCTTATTCCAACTCTGCTTCCAGTGGGTGACACAGTCTCCTTGCTCTTTAGTGTTACAGTCATCATTTCTCTTCAGCTCTGGTGAACACCAGCAAGGACACTTGCAAACACTGGTGTGACCACAGACAGCTTGAGCTTGTGTTTTACACCGAGATGTGTGTAAGCCCAGTCTGTGTTACATTTAAGCATTTTGGAGCAGCAGTTTCCCACAGGGCTGAGGATACCACCTCACTGGAGACACTCGGAGACTCCAAGCTCCCAGAACAGCTCATCAGACTGTAGGCAAAAATAAACTTTGTCTAAAGGAGGCTTCTCTTCACCACGACTTGGAGAACACTCTCAGAAGATTACCATGAGAAAATGAAGTATAACACAGGCAGGGCTGGGAAGGAACACATTTCAGGAGGGTTTATGCAAACCATGAAAGATTTGCTTCCATTCCTGAAGCGGAAAAAGCTGGGGAATTAGATTATCAGAACTGTAATTTTGGGATCACAAAGTTCAAGGTTCTGTTCATAACCCCAATGTACAGAACAACCTCTCAGACCACGCAGAACAATCAGCACTGGTAGTTCATCACTCCTTCAGCCCAGAGAGCAAACCCAGCCCCAGCGCCAGTCTCTCTGACCCCCACAGCACCACAGACCAGCCCCAGTCACAGCCAGTTACTCTCCACTACCTGACTTGGAACATTTTCACACAAGGCTACAAAGAGAGCAGGCACCAGTAGCACTGCACAATTTCCGCCAATGGTCTGATCTGTAATATCAAGTTTCCAGGAGTGTCAGAAATTATAAATTTAGGGATCACCTGCAGACCTCAAGCACAGCTGCAAAAAGTCCAGGAATTCAGCAGCACTAACACATGTTCAAAAAACAAGATGAAAAGGACCTACCCCAAAACAATCAGAACTTCTCATAGCATTTTTAGTAAGACATTGCCTGTACTTTTTCTTCCCATTTCTTACTACTACAGCCACACAAATGACAGCAACAGAGAAAGTTGCTACAAACAGGGCTAAAGTGATCAGTGCACTACTTTTTAGATCCTACTGCACCAATCTGCCCTCTGTGATGTCAGACAACACAATAAATAACAAGAGTCCACCAGCCTACAATAAGCTCCCTTTGATGCTGCCTCAATTGTTATTAAAAAATTAAAAAACAAACAAAAACCCACAGAAACCCAAGAAAAATCCCAAGATTTTTCTGCTCTGCATCACTGGACTGGAATTGCTACCCAGTGTTTTGCAGGCCCATTCACAATTATCTGTACCAACTCATGGTTAACAACCTCTGGTCCAAACAGCTGAAGAGATAATCAAGAAAGCTCAGGAAACTTGGCAACAAAGGGTCTCTAAGAGGTGCCCAGGACATAGAAAAGTGCTGGATAAAAGGGATAAAACACAAGAACATGAGTTTGGGAGAAGAAAACGGGAATGTAGCCAAGAACTGAGGGACAAGCAGATTTGTTCAGCAATGCCTAGGAGAAAAACTGGGCTTAAATGCAGAGGCTAATCTGGATTCAGTGGGATGACCACAGGCAGCGAGCAAGAACTGGACATGCAGAGCATCACAGCTTAGGTGAGGAAGCAGAAGAAGTGGTAGCGAGAAGGCAGGGAGGAACAGAGTTCACCCTGAGGAAAGAGCAGGCACGTCCCACATCTCCTGCACTTTCCACCATCACTCACCAAGTCTTGCATTTGTTTGTCCTTCACTGCTCTTTGTAGTCTCAATAAAATCAAAGCATTTATTAAGAGGGTCTGACAAGGCACAGGCTGCTCTGGTGTTCATGACAGTTGTGCCACAGCAAAACCCCATGAAATCCAACCCTGCTTCCAAAAATTCGAGGAAGTGATGTTCAAGTATCCCACGAGATTCGTGACAGAGACAAATCAGTTTTAAAACTTCCACTTTTCTTTCTAGATTACAGTATTTATGGCCAACAGGCACCACCAAAGAATGGAAAGGATTTCTGAAATACAACTGTGTTTATAGGGAGGGATGCAGAAAACAAATTGTAGCCAATGAGGGGGAGGAAAGCCAAAGTAAGCACTATAAAATGTAAATATTACTTCATCCAAAGCACAGTTCAGGAGGGCGGCTGGTCCATGGTTTTTGTACAACTACTTATCATACAACAACTTTTTAAATGGAGAAATCCCCCAAACACAATGTTCTGTTTTTCTTGGCACAGCAGATAAAGGCAAATGAAAGCAGCAAATCTTCCAATGTTGAGCTTCAAACCCAAAATCTGTCGCTGGAAATGTCAAAGTGCATCAACCAAGAGTGATAGAAGCGACCTGCTTTCACCCAGCCACGTTTGGGCACACATGCCAACCTCAGTTTTGTTTTGAAACCATCCTCTACCCAAATTAAATTTTGAAATTTAAGGCATGCTGGAAGGAAAGACAGGTGGGAGTTGCTTCTAACACACTTTGCTATATTTAAGAACAGACTTTAATTGCGACTTAGAACGTTTTATGTGATTTTTTTTTTTGCCTTTGGTCAGCAAAAATACCCTGTAAGACGAGAAAACTGGACAACTGGATGATGACAATTATAGACAGAGTGCCTGACATGCAAAGACAGCATCTGCCAGGCTGTAACTGCTCTCTGCAGATCATCTACACACCACTGGAAAGGTTTAATGGAGGGATGACACTCACTAATACCTCCCTCATCTACTAAATCTCTACATACAGTTACCAAAATGTTCATCCACAGAAAAATAAGTGGGAAAGTACCACCAGCAGCTCAGCTACAAATATATCAAGCACCATGTACTGCTGGGACAGTTTCCCAGCCAGCAAAATAAAGCAACATCAGGGTCTCCTCCCCAAAATCACAGTATTAGCTCAAGAGCAATGATATGCCCAGGTAACCACTGCTGATCCTGATCTTGGAGGGTTAGGAATTCTGAGAACAACTCCCTAAGCCCACAAGCTTCTTCTGAAGCTCAAGACAAAACCAAAACTCAAGAGTCCAGCCCCCAAGGCCCTTTTCTGTGTTTGCATAAAGCCTGTACACAAAGTGGGGGTTTTCTCTTGGGACTTTTTCATGTTCATATGTGTACATACAACTCACACGTCACACTTTACTGCCTGCCCATTTTTATTTCAGATGGTTAAACTGAAATTATTTGATTAGTTAGTATTAATGATTTTTAATGACCCAAATTAAAAAAGTCAAAATTTACAGTAAATATTAAACAGGGAGGATATAATTGGCTAACTCACTTCTAACACTCCTCCTTACTCTTCTCCTACTTTTAGACCATAGTTCCTCCTTTTTTCACTCTCCTCCTGTTATTACTTACTTTACTCTATTTCAGCCTTTACAGAACTGTTATCTAATACATCTACTAGAGAGATACACATTAGATATGTAATCTATCACCATTTAAGAGTTGGGCCAACCAACACTTTCTGAAGTCTTTCGTTTCCACTTCTCAATTTCCTCCTGGTGCTGTTTCTGAGCTCTTTAGGGAACTACCAGTGACTAGTTCTGCATCACAGACTGTTGAAACGAGTGCTACAGCTCACAGCAGCACTGCCCCACACAGCCTTCCCTGCACGGTTTGATTTTGACTCTGCAGTCTGTGGGGGCACTTTGCAAGCACAAATGCATCAGCAGCGTATTTCCAGAGCAGTCCCACACCAAACTTCCAGACCAGGCATAGACTAAACATGAAGGACCGCAGAAAATATCCAAGAATTATTATGCAATATAGCAAAGAACCTCATTCACTTCAAGTAATTATTTGGTCAGTACCCACTGTTATAAACAGCTGATTTTAAACAACAGTTGAACAGTGATGATACACTCACTGTTTATACAAATTCATCCCCTACCTGTTGGCTATCCCTCAATTAAAACAAGGCACAACTGGCTTTAGCTTCCAGAGGATTTGCTGCTTTTAGTACAGAAAAAAAAAAATCATTATTTGTGTCCACAGTAGCAAATATTATTTAAATACAGCATTGATATATAAGGGAAGAGAGTCAAGGCCTTTCCTGTGCTCTTGCCCAGGACCACCCAGTGAAGCTACAGCAGAAGGACGAGGGAGAAGTCAACTCAGTCCTCCAAACCACACCTGCACTGCTGTGTGAGGGAAAGCTCAACCCAAACTGTATTCAAAAGGTCCTAAAATTTTTACAGGTTTGGTTTTGGAGTGAGATTGCAAAGTGGGGAAGGAACATGCTGATTTGGGGGGTTATTCTGTTCGGGTTTTTTTTCAAGAGTCATCATAACAACAATTTGAAATTTTAATATATTCCAGGGAACCTGATTAAAATACTATAACAAACAAGAGAAACATACTGGAAATACACCAAGCCACATAAATTGCATCATGTTTTGGTAAGGCACTTATACAGAAATTATTTGGGTGTCTTTTTTTTGGTTCTTTCATTACTGGTATTATTCAGTATTACAGTTCTTTCCAGGAAGCTTCAGAACAAAAACCTTAATTCTACAGGTACACGTGTATCAAAACATTAACTACTGGAAGCCTCTGTCAGACTTGGAAACCACCAATACCCCAAACATTATGTTTGAACAAGGTGATAAGGTTACATTGACTTTTTATTTTCAGTCCAACTTAAACCAGACAACATTTAGCCTCCGACTTTTTGGTCGTGCCGACACCGCATTTAAAAACTGAGGTCAAAGTTGAGTAAAGTACAACAAAGGGAAAGAAGATTTTTCTGCACGTCTTCATTTTGGGAGATAAATTTAAGATCGAGAAAGGGTTTGACTAAGTACCTATTGCACTACTCCCATTCCTCAACCTGTCTGGGTTTGACCACGAAGCACAACTGTTCCTGCAGCCACTGTTATAAAAAGCTTTTCAGCCAACTATGACTTGCAAAACTCACTGCAACTCAGCTGCTGGGAAACACGATGGAAATCAAAAAGGATGTTGAATATTTAAGTGATGCTGCAAATTTCTTTTTCCAGTTTTCAAACCTCAAGGTTAACAAACCCCATTATCATTCAGCTTAGTCCAAGAATCATCTTCCTCTCTGAAGAGTCACAAGACAGTTTTCTGCAGCTATCACACACTACAGCAGGAATTAACCTAGAAATTAGTAAACCCTTCAATACAAAATCCTGTAGATTAAAACTGCCAGACTGGCTTCTGGCAGTGGTGGTGCCCCCAGTTCTGTTTTAAGAGTCACACAGAACAGTTGTACGAGTTACAACCTCGCTCCCTTCAGGACCAGCTGGCTCTGCTCTCTACTTTGCTACTTTCCCTTTCAAGCACATATTTTAAATAGAACCAGGTTATTTACATTGTTCCTAATGCTTGACCTGCATCAGTTCCACTCACCTGAGCTCCATAGTGTGTGCCAGGCTGTGTCAATATTTGTGCTTTTACTAACTAATAATTAACTCTGGCTGTATTAACTAGATAATTGCTAATACTGCCATTAACACATATAGTAATTCCATTAAGCACCATACTAGTGCTATATCCTATAGAACAAGATACTCACCAGAAACACAGACCTACAATCACACTGCTACAAAAATAGGAAAACTCACATGTATGAAAATCCCTAATACTGGGAAAACATTAGGAAGCCCATATTTCAAAAAAACAGTCTTTGTGCCTTTTATCTTACTGCTTGCAGAAACAGATCTTATATTTTGTGTTACTTTCTAATAAATTCACTGTTTAGAAGAGGCCATTGGGTAAAGCCTGTTCCAAAGGAGCAGAAGCCACTCATAACTTGAGGAAAGTACTCAACCAGCTGGACTCCAATGCTTCTACAAGTATAAAACATACATCACAGAAGCTCTTAAGCCTGTAGAGAAGCTTAATCCTTTTTTGCTCTGCCTTTAGAGCTCCTTGCAATTTTCCCCTTCCCCAAAAGCTAACCACAAAAACTCTAATGCTCCATTTTTGTTACTGAAACAATCCCATTGCCAAGTCATGATTAACCCTAAAAAACTTGGCTAAATTTACCAGAGGTGCAGTTCTGCTTTAATGTTCACTTTAAGTGAACTCCTCAATACTCTAAAAGCAACATGGAAGTTTCACCAATACCCTAAATAGATAAAATTTTTAATAAGATGAGAGAAGCAGGAGACTTACAAAGTAAGACTTGTCTGCTAGACACAAACCAGAAATAATCCATTTACTCCCCTCGACCTTCCTTGGCTAGACTAACTCAATTAATTTCCCTAAACCACCAGATACTTGCCAAGATTAAATATTTGGGTTTAATCATTCAGAAAGTGAAAGATTATGCACTGTAATGTAACACTTTTTACGGAAACCTCTGCTTGAGCAACAGTTCCAGAAAAAAAATTGTGAAATAAAGTAAAAAGCTGCCCAGAACACCACAATTCCACTCTGTTAATTCAAAAAAAAGAAGTTTCAGAGCCAGGCACCAAGTCAAGATCTCATTTTTAGCAAAGAAGAAGCGGCACGTTTCAAAACGCAGTTAACTCCAGAATAACAACCATCGCCGGGAAGTTATTAAATACCATCATCCCCTGGCCGGCAACTTGTGCTACGCGCAGACCTCATGACGGAACAGGCGATAAAAATGTCAGGGCTAATTTTTAGCACCGCGTCGCATTAATCCAGGTATAGGATAACCCGGGCTCGCCGAAGGGAAAGCCGGGACACAGCCACGGCACCGAGGGGCTGAGCAGCAGCGAGGGGCGATTCCGGCTGACGCAGCGCTGCTGCTGCGTGGAAAAACCGCACGTGGATTCGGGGAAGGCGCGCGCAGGGACGGGGGAACACGCACACACACACAGGGATCTGGGGAACGGACACCCGCGTGGTCTGGGGAGCACACACACGGATCTGGGGGACGCGCACACAGATGGATTTGGGGCACACGCACACAAACGCACACCAACACCGACTCCCCGGCCCGTGCAACATGGACGGCCGGCGGGGAGGGCTCGGCCGGCCCCGCCGCCGCCACCGCCCCCCAGGGAGCCCCTCGGGCCCGGCCGGGGCCGGCGGGAGCTTCGGCCCGCCGGGCACAAGGAGGAAGGAGAAAGTTTTACCCCCTCCCACCGCGGCCCAACACAAAGTTCCCGCCGCCCCCGCGCCGCCCCAGCCCCCGGCCCGCCCGCGCCGGCCTCCCCCGCCCACGCTGACAGCCCCGCGCCCCTTGCCCGCCGACCCCGATCCGCGGCACCGCCGCGGAGAACCCCCCCCCCCCCGCGGCGGTGACAGCCCCGCCACCCTCACCTCAGGCGAAGGCCGCGCTCCGCAGGGCGAGGAGCGGGCGGCGAAGGGGGTGAGGGGGGCAGCGCGCTCGGTGCCCGCGCCCTTATCGCATCCCAGCGGAGCCCGGCTCGCCCCCGCCGCCTCCCGCCGTGTGGGCGGCTCAGGCGGGATCCCCCCTCCCCTCCGCCGCCATCTTGGCTGTCACGGGGCGGGGGAGGCGGGCGGTGACTCGGGAGCGCGGCGGGGCGGGCGCGGGTCCCGCCGCTTCTTGAGGGGGAGGCGGCCGTGCCCCGCAGCCTTCCGGCTGCCGCTCCCTTCTGAGGGCTCCCCTCACGCCGCGGCCCCGCCGCTCCCGTCTTCCCCCTCACGCCGCGGGTCCGGCCGCTCCCGCCTTCCCCCTCACGGAGCGCGGCGCCGGCGGCTCCGAGCTGTGAGGGGGGAGCGGGGCGCCCTCGGTGAAAGCGCCTAAAACGCAACGCACAGATTGCAGACCTTCCCCCACCTCAGCCCTCTAATCGAAACGGCACCTTTAGTTTAAACAGAAATTAATCTCCGGCCCAAATAGGCCGGGATTTGGCTCACCTGCGGCGCCCGTCGCCTGGACCCGGAGGAGGTGCCGGCTGTCTGGAAAACCAGGGATGAGAAAACTGAGGGATTTTCTGCAGGCTTGATGTAACCCGCAGCAGGCTGTTGCATCAAAGACTAGAAAAAGAACCCGGGACAAAAATAATCTTTTAAGAGCGTGCAGCTAAGATTAGTGCAGCGTGTCAAGATGTTGCTGAGCGCTACAGAACGAGTCCTCCTGCCTGTACCAACACAGAAATACTACTTTTCTGGCATCTGCAACCCTGAGTATCCAAATTTTATACCAAAGTGATGTTTAGGGATAGGATCCCACCATACAATTTTGGCTTTAAATTCAAGCTTCCCTCCCTTCTAGATGTTTGGCTTGAGGGTTTAGATGTGGCTCGTCATAAAGACACAAGATCCATATGAAATTCTGAATTTATACTGCGAATATGTTCAAACCCACTGTATTGGTTTACCTCATCCCTCTGAAAAATCTGACCAAATAGGAGAATATAAAAGCAAAAAAGTACAAAATAGGTTTTTTTCCCCTTACATGCTTTTATTAATTTGATTGTTTATAGCAGAAATGCTGCTCCTCCTACCCCTCAGGTAGGAAACGCCTCAGCTGACACAAGCCAGTCTCTGCCCGGGCAGCAGCATTAAATTATTTAAAGTGCTGGTAGAAATTTTTCCAAATCAGTTTCTGCTATGTCTTAATCCTGGAAATGCTTTTCAAATAAATAGCAATGGTGAAGTCCATCCTCTGGCTTGTGATAGTACTTTTGATATGCAAAGTGTTCTGTTCTCTCTGCCCTCGCTGGTTTTTCACGTGGGCATAATTTTTAGCCTTCGGTGTTAACACCCAAGATTAATGAGTATGTTCCTACTTCTAAGAGTATTGTTTCAGCTGCTGTTATACTGAGGCAAAATCCCTGCACAGATGTATGAATAGTTCACTTTGCAGGGTTTAAGTTCACAGCCATGAAAATATTCTTGACTATTCGTAATGGAAACTTTCATTTTAGAGAAACAAAGTTCTTAAATATTCTGTGGCAGTTTTCATACTTTTCAGCTCATTTTATGGGTAAAATTTTTTGTAGATGTCTTTGATTTGCTGTTGATTTATTTCCCTCCACCATTTCTGTCCTTCTAGGATTATCTGCATTTAATTACACGTTGAGTCAAGGTCAACAAATTGCGGTCGAGGATGGGGATCTCGCTGTGCAAGGCCTGACACAAACACCGAAGGAGTTTCTGCCCAATGCTGCCATCACAGCCAACAGTGCTTATCTCTGTCCTGTCTTTCTTGTTCTTACATCTCCCCCTCCTTCCCACCCAATTCCATCAAGCCTCTGCTGCTTTCTCTCCCTGACCTACCTGCTGCTCACGCTCTCGGCTCTGGCACACTTTCATTCCCACCAGCACATTTAATTGCAATGTTCCATTTCATTATTAGCTTGTCACCACCTTTGTCAAGTCACCTTTCCTAACAAATCTCACCGCAAAGCTTTCCTTGTCATCAATTTTCCACATTAGGGCTCATCTGAAACCATGTGCAAAAGGGTCTGTGAAGAATCACGGCTGCAGTGCTGTATTTATTTGTGAATAAAGAGCAGCACCAGTGAATAGTGCTACTGTACAGGCAGAGACAGATTTACTGTGTGCCCAGCTCCTGCCAGGCTCATTGCACAGAGATGTGTCTATGTGTCAGTCAAACAAAGTCTTTCCCTTCCCGGGGATTTTCGGGATCTCTGGGCAGTGGTCTCTACATGCACATGGAGACCAACCCCAAGATCATTAAGTCAGCAGAATTCTTCCTATTAACCCCAGTCAGTGTTGGATCAGATTCTTGTTGTGTGTAGTAAGTTAATTAAACAAGTTAACAATTGCATACAGTGCAGGTGGGCTGGCACCAGGCGTTTCTGTGGGATTCTGCTGCCTCTCAAGTGCAGGGTGGAGCCCTGGCAGCCAGATTTAGCCTCCCCCGGAGTGCAGCCAGCGAGACACACTGGCTTTCTACAGACTGGCAACCACAGAATCATTTTTTTCCATGTTACAACCCCAAATTTCTAGCTTGTGGCACTCAAGTAATTTTCAGAGTATGGTTTAGCTTATTTTAAGTGTGTTTTACACATGGGTAAACTCCAGCAAGGCAGAGGACAAGTGGCAGATGGTCAGTGACAGAGCCAGGAATAGAACGGAGGACTTCCTTGTCCCAGGACATGGTTGTAATTGACTTCGTCTCAGGATTGTGAAATGTGATGATTTATAATTCATGAGGCTTCAGCAGTGCTTAAAAAAAAAAAGCAGCTATTACTATTCCCAGTTTTTCCTGGCAGAGGCTGGCTTCCATAGGCAAAATGATTTCAGTGTCTTAAGTGTGCAATTTGGGGCTTAGTCTGTTCACTTTCTGACCAGTTTTATTCCTTTTGAGCTCACTTGGCTGTGCTGTGTGCACTGCTCATTTACATCTATGGGGAGAAGGATGAGGCTCCAAGAGAACCCAACAGAGTATCTTTCAAATAGACCTATCTGTAACCTTGGTAAAAATAACCATAAAGATAATGATAATGGATAATTATAAACCCTATAACTGGCAAAACAAGACTCTGCATTTCAGAGGACGAATTGCCTTCCCCTGTCCAGTAACCCACTTTATGGTGCAGTAATGGATCTGCATCCGGAGGGTTATGCACTGAAATGGAGCCTTTGGCAAGATGGGATCACAGTAGAAATGAAGCAACATCTTCATGGGTTTTTTGAATATATGCATATTTGAAAATCTGGAACTTCTCCCTTTTGACATAAAGAGACTGTTCCTGCTCGGAATGATTAAATTCTAGGACAGATTATGAAATAATAAAATATTTAAATATTATGATGCAGCAGTACAACAGTGCAGTTACCCTTCCTTTTACTGATTCAAGTATAGTATTTCTGAAAAGCCTTTTGCACTCCAGGGAAACTACTGACTATAAATTATAAAACAGGCAATAGAGTTATCATGCATGTATGGGGGAAAAAAAGAAGTTTCAGACCTTTCTCTAGGTAAAGAACTTACTGAAGCAGCTAAAAATATGGGAAATGGAGCAAACACAGGGTCTGATCCAAAGGCCACTGAACTCAGCAGAAGCATGCAGTTCATTAGGCATCAGAGTCATGTAAGTCATGGATTACAATTCACAAATGCAATTAAGAATGTTACTGTATGTGAGTAAGGATAAAGTCTAATTGTCTAATTGCATTGTCTAGGCGTTCCACTTGGATAAAATGAGCAGATTTTTCTCCAGTAGGTAGACTTTCTCAGCAAGGATGTATTGCCAATATTTATGTGAGAGTTTTTGGTCCCAGAAGCACAGAAATGCTGGGAAACAAAAAGGAAAGAAAATGTATCCAAGGAGGAGATCCAACTGCTTCCAAGTCATTTCTAGAAATAAAATTCTGATGCGAACTCATTATCATTCCAGTTTCCAGCACCGATTTGCTTCCTCAAGATTTGAGAGTGTGCATCTGAGAATTCTGACTGTGCATCATAAAGTTTCCCTCAGCAACTGCTCAAACTATTCACAAGGCACTGCAGCATGGAGCAGCTCTCAAAAATGGAATGGTAAGAGCCCCAGGGGACAGCCTTTGGGATTAATCAGGGAGAAAACAGTTAACTTTGTGCTTTGCTGTGTTGCTGCGGGTTGGGGGATCAAGCAGGTGACGCCATACCTCTTATCCTGTTGTTAGCAGGCAAATAACTGCACAGCTGGAGCATGTTCTGGAATGGCTCTTCCCATAGGCCCTGGAAGCTCCGAGACAAATATTTGCAGCACATTTTGTGGGAACGGGACAGGAGGAGAGTTGCTTGAGGATGGTCCAAGTCCTAATGCACGTACCAAAGCCAACTCGCTGTGTGTGCCAGCACTAACCTGTTTTAAGTATTGCTGTCATCAGTAGGGCAAGATAACAAAAGCTGCTCTTTGTGGAGAAATATCAGGAAGGAAATTGTGCATGCAGATTGGCCAGCAAACACAACAATCTGGGGCTGTCCGTGTACACACTGATACTGCTGGTTTGTTGCTATTTTCAGCAGCTCCTGTACCCTCAGGGGTGAGAGAAGGACTTAACTGCTGTCCCTGCTGTTCAGGCATCAGCCTTAAAGGTTCCATGTGGGCTCCGGCTCTTTGGCCCATCTGGAGATGATTTCTGCAAATAGCAGTTTTCCTCTGAAACAGTCCAGTTCACCACCCAGAGCCACACCACATGACACTGTGGTGCTGTGGTATCTCCTCTCACATCAGATAAAAACCCACTTTCCTTCACTAGAGATCTCAGTTCCTCATTATTTGCACTTTTATTTATCTTCGAATCCTGCCCACGCCAAGCAATTGCATTCGATTACCTAAACATTCCCCACAGTTTTGCCTGACTTACTTCAGGCTCTAAACTCTTGTGTAGTCCTGCTGTTTAAAGTTTTTGTGTTTTGTTCTGGAGTTCACTTATATCATGAGGGGTGAAGTGTATCTGTCAGATAACCACTTCTCAGGAGTACTATTAGGCTTAATTAATGTTTGTAG